CTGGCGTTCCACGACAGAACCCCGAGCATGACAAGTTCAGCAGCCCACCGTTGCAACTCCTGTCCAGGGGGCTGCGCTCGTCATCGAGCCCGAAGTGTCCTGATTCCTCCCGCGATAGAATCTAGTGGGTCCTGGCCGAGGTGGCGGTGTCTTCCCGAGTCGTTGAGTACCCGAGCCGAGCTGAGGGTCGATGGGTTCGATCGGGGCAACGTGGCTCGCCCTTCGCGCGACATTGAAAATCAGGGCGGGGCCAGGGAAGTTCCTCAGAAAGGGCTGCGCGATCCTCATACCGAGCCTTTGAAATCGACGACGTCTGCCCCGATTGCTGGCCCTGTGCCGCCCGACGCCCAGACCTTTGCGGGGACTCCCTGAATTTCAGCTGGCGGATTCTGCTGAGCCTTATTGAGGATATGCGCGGGGGGCGCTAGCAGTGAGCAGGTCCAGACGCACGAGAAGCAAGCGATGCGTTTTTTTGAGGTTGCGCACGACTCCCGCGAGTGCGTCTGCAGCCCCGAGCCGACCGCAACGTTTGCATCTACCCCAGAGAGCGCCTCCCTCCGTGTATATATGACAGAGAGAGAGAGAGCGCGCGTCTGCGGGGAGGACGAGATCCGCTGTGTGAGAAAGTTGTTATTCTGGCTCTTGCGTCAATGATTGTTTCCGCTGTCGCCCAGTCCGGGTTTGGGCTCAGCTCTCTGAAATCGTGCATCAGATGAGGCAAGACGGGGCTTGCAGTCTTGGGGCGGCAATCGCGTGCGTCCTCTGCCGGGCCAGCTCGATTGCGGGGGAGCTGCGAATGAAGGCGGCGCTTTTCATCGCGGCGAGCAACGGCGATGAAGGTTGGCTGGAGGGCTTGTCAGACGGCGCAAGCTGATATCTCTTGCTTGTTCCGAGCCAGGTGCGGACGCGCCTGCGCCCACGTCGAGGAAAGACGGGCCCCCCTCCGCGCGCGCGCGGCCCATCTTCTGCGTGGATGACCGCGGCAGAATACATTGGAACATGCGAGACCCCTGGGCAGCAGGCTCTCGGCATCGGCCGAAAGCCCCCCCCCCTCGCGACCGCAAGAGCCGCAGGTCTTGCGCAGCGAAGAAAGTTTTGGAGCGATCACCACCCAGGAGGATTTCTCCAGAGGCGCTTTTGTTTTTTCTACGGTGATTATGAGGGCGAGCGTTGGCTCGGTATTCCGTGGAATGGCCGACTCGTCCGCAAGAGTTCGATTGTGCGAATCTGCAGACTTTGCCGGGGCCTGAAGTCGAAACCGCAAATTCTGTTGTTTTACGATTCGGGAGCGTGCAAGCTGCGATTCGCTGCTGGGGCGTATTGGAAATGCCCGAAGTGCCCATGCTTCCACGAGGTGTCTGCCGCATATGGTGCGCCGTTTGAAGAAACGGAACCAGCGGTCGGGGCCGCGGGCGGGGCGCGGCGACGGCTGGCGCGGCCAGTTCTGAGGGCCCTCTTCAGAAGACGGAGCGGGGAGAAACATAGTTGTCTCACGAGATCGAGGGGCCGACAAGAGTAGGTGGCACACATCACAATCTGTAGACTGCCTCGTTTGGGTCACGCAGCTCGCGTTCCCGGCGAGGAATGGGGGGCGGTGCCCCTGCCGCTGCTTCTCCTCTGGCGTGGGCCCCAGAGTTCGAGCAGATGCAACTCTTTGCGTTGCCCCCTACCGACCCGGTGGAAGCTCAGCTAGATGGCCAAGAGGTCCAAGAATTACGCTGGGGCTGTATGGCCCAGCACTGAAAGCGAGAGAGAGACATGCTCTTTGCTCGACACGAAATACCGACTAGCCATATTTCGGCTTGTCTGATGTCTTCGATTGGGAGTTCACGATTCCCGAGAGGTCGGGGGACATCGACCCAGGCGACTCGTGACTAATGTCAGTATTTAGAACGTTTTTAGATGGGAAGAGGTACAGCCATCATGTAGCGGCGGGCGTGCCAAGGCGAACGACTTTGGGGCCTTGCTTGAGGCTTAACAGAATTGGACCCAACCGCTCTGCACTTCGCAGTGCGTAGTTTCCAATTGCCGAAGTGCAAGGATCTGCCCCGACACATGGCCGGCGGCCTGTCGGGGATCTTCCGCGTTTGGGGGAAGTCGTTGCCCACTCGAAGTTTACCGCCGAAGCACTGGCTTCGGCCGAACAACCTCAGAGACGCGGTGCGAAGTGCGCGCCTGTTTCGGATAGATGGCGCAGCGCAGCGGCGTCAAACCGAAGCAGACGCGAAATCTTCGACGACCAAGCGCGCGATCATAGCCGAGTCGGACCTTCTTCGGGCGGAGAGATCTAAGATTGAGCCTTGTTCCTGCTCTGAACAGGATTGGCTCGGGCGTGGGGTCGTCAACTCGGTCGTGGAAATCTGACGCGCGCGCGCTGATCTTGTCGCCATAAATAATGGCGGGTGCTCTTAGCCAGCGTTCCGCGACTGTCGCGGTCGGAGTGGAGGAGATGCACGATGAAAGGTGGACCTGCGATTCCGCCGTTGGAAGGGGCGATTAGAGTTCATTCTGTTCAAAGGAACCGCCAGATGACCGGATGGTCTCGCCAGAAGGACACGGCGGGCCCCCTCGATGCCCGCGGCGGGGACTTCGTCTTCTGATGAGACTGACTCGTCGGAAAGTCGGGTCGCAAATGAGCGCGGCTTGCGCGGCGCGCAGTGACCGCCGCGTCGGCGGCGCGCAGTTTCCCTGATCTGGACAGCGAGCCCTCAACCGAGGGCGCGTCGGCAGCGCCCGCGGCTTGCAGGCCCCGTCTGCCTTTGCCCCCCTCTTCGGAGACGGGCGCCGCCAGAGGCCTCGAGGGCCGCGGCAAAGATGATGCCCCCGCCCGCAACAGGGTGACCCAGAAAGGAGCAGGGGCGCGATGTGAGCGCAGACGGGGGCAGAAGGGAAGCAGAGTTCCTACAAGTCGGGCGATCGTTGGGACAGTGGTAATAGCAAGAACCGCGAGAATCATGAAGGGAAATGGCACGGCAGAGAATTTGAATTGGCAGCGCCCGAGTTTGCGACTGGACCTCGAGAGGGCCCCGCAGGTGCCATGAAATTGGCATCGCTAGCTTTGGCAACTGGACCTCGGGAGGAAGTTTGCGCGGAGATGAGTGATGAAAGGACGAGCGCGGCAGGTCTCCGTGGGGCTGCGACCCGGAGACGGAAGTGGACAGAAGGAACCCGCGCGGCGGCGGCTGGAGCAACGCGTGATCGAGGGCGCCGGTAGCCGCGAGGACATCTGTGCGACCGCGCGATCCGCGCTGGGGGGCCCCGCGGGCCTGTCGAGTAAGTTTAGCGTCCGCAGAGCCGTCGGCGGGTCTTTGCCTCGGCTGCGGTGGTAGGCGCGCGCGCGGATGGTGCGCGCTGTGGAATTGTTTTCGGGGCGGGCGTTCCCGTGCGCGGCATGCCAAAGGCTGGCGCGCGAGGACACGGCTGCCTCGGTGCCCGACGCGGGGGAAAGATTCGATAACGTCCGGTCTTCGCCTGCCGCTGCGGGCGTTTGACTGAAGTGTTTGATGCGTCGTCGACGGAGGTGGTCGGCGAACTTGGTTTCGGAGCGCAAGTCCGGCCCCGGTAGTCGAAAACGAGAGCGCCCGCATGCGCGCAGGCATCGCTAGAATGTCGTCGATCACCACGAAGGCGCAGACCGCGCAAAAGGGACATACCATAGTATACCACACCAGGCATGAAACAGACCCTCCAGGCTAGGAGATTGTGGCGAAGATGCATCACATTGTTCCGATCGTGTATAACATCTGATTACAAAACATTTCTGGAACAGGCTAGCGACTGGAGATTGTGTTACAGAGGTATGGTTTGATCGGTCTGTTTTTCAACACCAGCACCATCAGTTGGAGGGGGGGAAGAGGTGGAGGGTGAGGAGGAGGAGGAAGAAGAAGAGGGGGAGGAGGACTCCCTTTCCCCTCCAACTTATGGTGGTGGTGGTGGAAAACATGCCCATCACTGTTTACCATTAGCTGTTTTACGCAACGCCGTGAAAATCCATATTCATCTGATCAGTCGCACTGATTCGGATGCAACTCTAGGGAGGTCAAATTAGATTGCGGAAGCCTTACGGCCGGCGCCGCCGACCCTGAAGATGAGGACGCTGAACGCGACGAGGTACAAGGTGGAGAAGCAGGACGAGCAGGGGGAAGAACCGCATGAGGAGGAGGAGGGTGAGACGGGGAGGAGGAGGTGGAGGCAGAGGTTCAGGGGAGGTGTGGGGGGGAATCGAGCGGGTTAGTTGTGAGGGGGGGGGAGACTCGGGGGTGGTGGTGGTGCCCGCAGAAGTTGATGGAGAAAGGCCGTGGTTTCGTGAGGGTTTCTTAGAACATTCTTGGATCGTCCTGGGGCTTTGTTGGGCCGCGGGATTCCAGGGGGGGGCCGTCGTATCTGACCTGGGACCCCCCCTGGGACTCCCCCGGGACCCTCACTGTCTCGGATGCAATTTCTGGGAGGTCAAATACGATTTTGCCCTGGTCCGAGATCTGGCTGGCTCCAGCTTACTCCGGCTGAATCCCAATTCATCCCGGTTAATCCGGCTTGATCCCGCTCAATCCGAGGCCCGCTTCAGCGTAACAGCCCTCCCTCCAATGGGGCTTAATTATTTTGGTCCTTCCAACGAAGACCTCCCAGCAGTTGCCTTCTAACATTGTGTTGCAGCATATTGTTCTCCCCGTGCCCGCGTATCGCATGTCTTGAATGCTCCCTCGTCGGCGACCCATTTCTGTGTGTGCGGTCGGTGATCGAGTCGACTGCGTGGCGCGATGCGGCCAGACGCCGATGGTGAGCCAAGTTCATAGCAGAAAACGTTTGGTCACAATGGGATGCATATTGTGCAAATGGAGAGGCAGGAACATCGATTGATGCCAAGGCACGAGGAAGAGAAGACGAGACAGTGGGTGCGTACGTGGGGTGCGTATGTGTGTGTGATTATGTGTATGAGTGAGCTGAATGTGTTGCTGTTGCAATATATGTGTTTTCTGCGTCCTCGTTGTTATGTTGTCTGTGTGCGCGCACGCATGCGGCCAAAGGGCTTGGCACACGTTACATCGATTTGAAGAGCCCGCCTTTGCCGAGCCATCGCCATCACTGCCCAATTCTTGCTCGGTCTGCAGTTGTTCAAAGGCAGCGCCGCGGGGGGGCTGTTCTCGGCACGGGCGGAGGGATGCCGTTCCAAAGGGCGCGCGGTTGGTGGCAGGCATTGCAGCTCTGGTGCCACCAGGCTGGGCATGACGTTGCTCTGGCCGTTTCGGCCGCTGCGAAGCGGCTGCCTGGCGCGACCAGGATGTTGTGCGACGGTGCTGTCTGGCTCCTATGGGCGCGATTAATCCTCGTTCTGCTTGTCCTCAGCGTCCTCGTCGTCTCCTCGACCCCCTTCCTCCTTCCCCGCCCTCGGAGACAGAAGGCGGAGAGAAGGATGAGACGACGGGAGAGCAGGATAAGCAGAACAAGGAGAATGAGCAGGAGGAAAAGGAAGAGGAATGCGAGGTTGAGTAACGTAAGACGGGGTGCATGCGTGAAACATGCTGATGATAGTCGTGGTGGTGACGGTGATGCTCAAGCTAATAGTACGGATGAGGAAGAAGATAACGACGTCGAGGATGAGCCAGAGGATGCGTGCGGAAAGACGCAGGAGTATGATGATTAGCAGCAGGAGGATTCGCAGCAGGAGAGAGGGCATCAGCAGTACGTTGTGGAGTAGTAGCCGCAGAAGGAATAGCAGGAGCCTCCAACTCATCCTCCTTTGTCACCCTCCTCCCCCTTCGCTCCTCCCCCCCTCCGTCTCCAGCTCTCAAATCAAGTACTTAGTGATGAGTCGGAGATGAGGTTTTCCACGCAGTTGTTTTCCTCTCAGGAGCCGAGTGTGCCCAGACAGGACCTCGCTCCCAGGCAGGAAGTCAGCGCTGCAGCCAACCATGCCGCCCAGCGAGCCGCCACCCAGGCACGTTTGATCTCGAGGCAGGCCGAGTCTGGAGCGGCTGCGACTCGAGCAGCCCTGTCTCACAGAAATCAGATTGGTTCGATGTTGGCCGACTCTGGTCGTCTCAGGAACTTCACAGCAGGAGGCGTCGTTCCCAGTGATTTGTTGCAGCAGGGTCGGTCCATCACGACATATGCCCCTCGCGAGCTCCCCGCCATCCCGACGGCGATCGCTCACCGTGCTGCACCTGCAGACGCGAGGGGTAGGGGTAGGGGTCGTGGCCGTCGTCATGAGGGTGCTGGAGACTGGGGGAACAAAAAGGGAGTGCTGTGTCAACTTCGCACCTTGGACGCAATCCCGCTACCTCCCCTGACCAGACATGCGACGCCCTGAATTTTTCAGTACGGCGTCCCCAGAAGTCCAGGCCCCTTCCCCAGGGCCAGTTTTTCATCCCGAGTCGTTATTTGATTTTCCCGAGGCCCGGTATGTTCTCCCAGGGGCCGAAAATAGTGAAACACTTCCGTCGTGATTGTTTCACGATCTCGTGTTGGGAGCTGAGCTGGGCTCCGAGTTGGGTGCTGAGAGGGCTCCGATTCGTCCCACCAGATTTGCCCGAGAAGGTGCGGAGCAGCCTCGAAGAGGAGGATGAGGACGAGGAGGAGGTCCGTCGCCGCAGCAGCGCGCAGAGCTTCCTCGATCGAATGGCGACTCGGTATGAAGTTCCTTTGCGATGTCGTGTCTTGTCTTGTCTTGTCTTGTCTTGTCTTGTCTTGTCTTGTCTTGTCTTGTCTTGCCTCCTCCCCTTCCTCCTCTCCTCCTCCTCCTCCCTCCTCCTCCCTCCTCCTCCTCCTCCCTCCTCCTCCATTCCTTTTCCTTATACATAGCTTCTCCCTGTCGCACCCCGAGGCCAGGTTCTAGGGCGGGCCGGGCGTCTCGCCTGAGACTTCCTCACCATCTATGACCCTGAAGCTTAAACATTCGCAGCAGTTTCACAGATGCAGGGCGGGTGGTTTTCAAAATGTGATTCTCGCCTTAGCGCCGCGCACATTCGTTTAAAACAAATTGCAAGAGTTCCACGGATTGAAGGCGGATGGTTTTCAAAATGTGGTTCTCGCCTTAGCGCCGCGCACAGTCATTCTAAACATTTGCAAGAGTTTCACGGATTGAGGGCGGATGGTTTCCAACATGTGGTTCTCGCCTTAGTGACCTGCACATTCGTTTCAAAGTTTTCCAAGAGTTTCACGGGTTGGGCGGTTCTGGCGGTTTCTTTTCAACAGGTGGTTTTCGCTTTAGCGGTGCGCACATTCTTTTTAGATTATTGCAAGAGTTTCACGGACTCCTATGATCAACGTACCAGAAATGGTGTTTTCGAAGGGTTCGTGATTAGGAGGGTGCAACAGTTAGTCCCAGGAATGGCGCTACGGCACGATTCAGGATCGTCAAGACGCACCAGTCAGGTTGATCCGTGACGTTGGAATCCCGATAACTATGTTTTGGCATGTTTCAGGGTCTTCACACGGTTGTCTTCCAACGAGGCAGCTCCCTCAGTGGAACTGAACCGTTGTAGGGGCCTATGAAGAGAGAGCTTGGAGGGAGGGTTTATTCCAACATCGTTGATGACTCTTGGATTTACACTGGTCCTCCTCCTCATCATTCTTCCCCTCCCTCCTCCTCCTCCTCCTCTTCATCCTCATTCTCCTTTTCCGCCTCTTCCTCCTCCGCCTTCTCCCTCCTGGCCCTCCTCTTCAGACTCCTTTTCGCCTCGGCCCCTCTTGTCCCTCCTCCCATCCCCTCCTTCATCCTCAATGGCCTCGCTCCCCCTCTTCCGCTTTCATGGACCGTCGCACCTCCTGCATCATCCTCCCCCTCCTCCCCTATCCGCCCTCCAGGGATGCGTGCCCGTAGCGAGGGTTGCCCTTAAAGGGGCTCACGTCCAGAGGTAGATAGGCGTTCACAACGAAATGCCCCCGAGAGCTCGCAAGGCTAATTTGTGTTAGTGGGTCAGACCATTGCATTACACCAGGACTCCATGAGTGATTGGTTTCTGGCTTGCTTGCTCCTTCCCATCCCTCCTCCTCCCTCGTCCCTTGCTCACCCCCCTCCTCCCCAGCCCCTCTCCCGTCTCCTCCCTCTTCCCCCTCCTTCCTCCCTCGCTGCTCTCCCCCCTCGCCCTTTCCCCCCCCGCTCGTCCTTTTCGTTCGCCCTCATCTTCCCCCTCCCACGACCTGGAATCCTCTCATCGTGTTGCGTTGCAGCCTACTTCGCGTGGGATTCGGTCCTCTTTCCCCTCCTCCCGACCCCCCTCCTCCTGCCACCCAGGGCTGGACCCAAACGGTGTTTTTGGCGATTTCGTGGGCCGTCTTCGTTTCGACTTCGTTTTGCGTTAAAGGCGGATTCGAGACACAAGTGAGGGAAGACGAACACGAAACGAAAACGCAAACACCGTTTGGGTTCAGCCCACGTGCATGAGGAGGGGGAGGTTGACAATTAGGAGGAGGCGGACGGAGGAGAAGCAGGGAGGAGGGACGGAGGGAGGGAGGGAGGAGGAGGAGGAGGGGGGCGAAGGAGGAGGAGGAGGAGGAGGAGGAGGAGGAGGAGGAGGAGCGTGCCTGCAACCCGTCTCCTCGCCGTGCCTCCTCCGGGAGCACGAGCAGCGGCACGGCCGGCAGCGGCAGGCTCCCGGGGCACGGCCGCGGGCGCAGCCGCCCCGCCGCCCTCGGCGGCGGCCCGCCGCCGGCAGGAGGGCACGGCGCCCGGAAGTTGCAGCCTTCGGGCAGGAAGGTGGAGGGTTTCTCCGAAGGGCTTAGGCGACCCGTGCTCCTCCTCCTCCTTCTCCTCCTCCTCCTCCTCCTCCTTCTCCTGGAAGCTGGGAGGTGGCAGGGCCGCCATCGAGGTCGATGAGGAGGAAATCGTCCAGCCCTACTCGTGGCTTGGCTGCCCGGCTTTCCTCAAGGACCCGGTCAAGGAGCCAGTCGCGCCAGGCCAAGAAGGAGAAGAAGGATCGGAAGCACAAGAAGCACAAGAAGGAAGGACAGGGACCAGAGGCCGCCCCCCGACTGGCAAGGAGCTGGTCCTTGGGAGGTGAACTAGGCCCCACCAAGTACATGGGCTGCCAGGTCACGTCGTGGCACGACATTGGCGACGAGAACGACGGCGACGTCCAGCCCAGCGACGGCATGAGCACGCTGGGGGTTCCGAATGGGAGCTACTTCATCGGTGTGCGCAGGGGCAGGGAGGTGGTCAAGTTGTTCGACTTCATGGGTCACCAGCTGTCCCTGACGGATGGCATCGAGCTCACCCTCGGCATGGATCAGGCCGACGAGGATGAGGTGACGGCAGCAGGAGAGGCTCCGACGGCGGTGTCGGCCGCATCGGCGGCGGGGGCATCGGCGGTTGGGAGCCCGGGCGGTGAAGGCATAGGCGAAGGAGGCATTGCCGGCGGCGGCACTGGCGGCCGTGGCGGAGGCAGTGGCGGAGGAGGCATCGGCGGCTCGGAGCCTAGCGTGCACGAGGGCGGTAGCGTCAATGAGGATTTGAAGGTCACGTATGCGGTGAAGGTCAGCAATAGGTTTGAGGAGCTGAACCCCAGCAGCGAGGACGTCGGCTATGGCGGGACGGAGTCCAGCGTGGTAGGCGACAGCATCGGCAACGGTATGTCTGAGCTATCGTCGGAGATGGATGCGATGCAGCATGAGGAGCTGGAGGCTGAGGAGACGGCGCTCAAGGAACCCGGCGTTACGACGACGGCGGGCTTTTGGCCTGACAGCCTCTCCAACCGCGAGCTGCGCCAGCTCGCCGTGAAGCGGTTCGGTCAGGCCTGGGTCGACGAGAACCTCTTTCCCGAGTGAGGCTGGCCTGCGATCGAGGCTGTGTGGTTTTCTTGGGCGTTGTCCCGTGGGGGTGGTGGCGTTGGCCTCTCGTCGCCCTTGCTGGGTTCGCCTCGTTTTGGCCTCCGGGTCGGTTTTCCGCTCGTGGCGGGTCGCCGCCGCTGGGCGCTGCTCGAAAATCTTGGTCTCCCGCCGGGCCGCGGCTCGTGCGGTGGCGCAAGCTACCTGCCATGGTCCTGCCTGTCGGCAGGAGTCGTAGCGGGCAGCCTGCCAGTAACTTCTCGCTGGGCCATTGGGCTCGGCTAGTGCGGTTCGGCGTAGGTCCGAGTCGCGCGGCCTGCGTGCCAGCGCCCTTTGACAGGGCGGCGTCATCAGTAGCCCCAGTAGCCTCAGTAGCCTCCTTCTCCTCCTCCTCCTCCTCCTCCTCCTCCTCCTCCTCCTCCTCCTCCTCCCTTTTCCTCCTCAATCTCCTCCTCCTCATTCTCCTCCTCCATCTCCTCCTCCCCCAGCCCCCCTCCTCCTCCTCCTCCTCCTCCTCCCTCCTCCTCCTCCTCCTCCTCCTCCTCCTCCTCCGGTCGCCTACGGCCCAGGGGGAAACCGCCCAGGCCTGCCCCTCGCCAGACCCTGTCGGGTTGTGAATTTGCTCAGAGGAGGAACAGGTGTCCATACCTCTACCCTTTCCTCATCTTCCCTCTTTGGGGGGCCTCCTCGGAGGCCCTCGTCGCCACCGCTGGATCCGCCTCGAAATCCTGGTCAGAAAGTACCCCAAGGGTAGGTCCGCGGAGTAGCGGTAGTGGTACTGTTGGGTTTCCCCAGCTACCCAAGAGCAATGACAACACGAACGGGCCTTGCCCAGACGAATGGTTCCAACATGGCTTCCAGGAGAAAGCTCGCGATACCCCAGGGAAGCCATGTGCACGTAGCCGTGCCGTGGCGCGCCCCGTGGGTTCAATACAATAGGCACTTCCAGGGGGCACGGGGAGCAGTTCTGGGCCCCCCCGGCGGCGCCTCCGGCGCCGTCCCTGGCGCGCTCCGCGCGCCAGGGAGGGGGGTCCAGCGCCGATCCGAGCTATCCGCGCGGACCTCCGAGTTTTTATGTTTAAGTCATTTTATGTTCCCCTAGGAGCGGGCAGTAAGGAGGGGAATAGAGAGAGAGAGAGAGAGAGAGAGAGACGGGATTGGAGAGGATGGGGTGGGAGAAGCATTGCTACATCCACAACGAGGGCAGGCGAATATTGGAGGACTGGGGGAACACACGCGAAGCGAGGCTTCTGGCCGTGATCGGGGCCCTCACCAGGCTCCGGGACTGTCACAGACGGCTCAGGACAAGAAAGGTGGTCCGCAGGGAAGGAGAGTAGGGTTTTTTTGGGTCGCTCCGGAGGGGTGGGAGACGGGTGACAGGAGGAGGGGCAGGTACCTAGCGACGAAGAGGGAAATCTGTTATTCCTGATCAAGAACTGCAACCGGCAAGACTGAACAGGTGCCGCAGAGTCAGTGCGTTAATGTGGAAGATTCTAAGCCACCTGAGCAGTGCTCCAGGAGGTGAGAAAAGGCAGGCACTAGCGGTGCAACTAGAACAACCAGGCCATCTCTTGGGCCGAAGAGCGAGCAGAGCGCGCGCTAATTTGCCAGACGGCACGTTCCGAGCTGCGCCCAGCCGTAACGACACGCCACGGAGGACGACCCGCCCGGATGGACCTCTGTGGGCCACCGCTCTAACGGGCCTCCTCCTCCTCCTCCTCCTCCTCCTCCTCCTCCTCCTCCTCCTCCCCGATGAGGAGGCGTGAGCGTGGAGCTCAAACAAATCCTCCTCCTCCTCCTCCTCGTCCTCCTCCTCCTCCTCCTCCTCCTCCTCCTCCTCCTCCTCCTCCTCCTCCTCCTCCTCCTCCTCCTCCTCCTCCTCCTCCTCCTCCTCCTCCTCCCCCCCGCGCGCTCCGGGCGGGGGGGCCGCGGCCGTGGAGATGCGGGGTGGGGTGGGGGGGCCCCGGAGAGGGGGAAGCCCCGAGGAGTTGCCCGCGCGCGACCCGCCCGCCCCCGCGCAGCACGCCCTGGCGGGGTAATTACCCAGACCCTGGGGTCGGGGGGGGGGGACGATGGCGACGGGAGGGGGGGAAGGGAAGGGTGGGGGAGCCCCAGGAGGTAGGGAAGGGAAGGGTATTCCTCTTCACCCAGGCCACCACCCCCGTTACTAGGGAGCCCACGAAGGACGCGCGCGCCCAACCGTTGTACATGAACGCCCGGCCCCTCGGTCCGCGAGACCGGTCGCGTGATACGAACGTTCGCGCTTTGAGTACAGGGTCCGGCTTGAATAAGGAACACATTTTTTTTAAAGGGGGCTCGGCCGTTCCTTTGGTTTGCATGCGTTCCGCTACCGTTTTGGGCGGCGAGCCCTCCTGGTGTTCCCTCGGACTTCGTAGACTTACTTGGAAACATTGTGGCTCCGTTCCCTATGTGTCGTTCCTGAGGTCAGGCCGAATACTGTACTCTCCGAAACCAGCCTGGGTTCATGTACGTGCACGTCCTCCTTCCGCTCCTGAAAGTTACCCGCCCGCCCGAAGCTCTCCCGGATCATCCGGGCGTTCCACCCGCTCTGGCGCGTCGCCGAGCCCCGCCGCGGAACCGGGCCCCGTCGCAGCCCGCCGCCGCTCCCCACCGGGGAGCTCTCCCGGGAGCTGCCTCTCCCGGCCTCCCATAGCCTGCGCGGGGCGCGCGGGGCCAGTGCTGCGCGCCACGGCCCCCGCGGCCCCCGCCCCTCCCCCTCGAGGAGGCGCCGCGGCCGCGCCCGCCCCCGCGCTCTACTCGCACGGCGACGTGGTGGTCATCCAGGCTGGGCCGGAGCGAGCCTGGGTCGGCGGCGGGCGAGGGCGAGAGAAGGGCGCGGGCCTCCTCGGAATAGGGGCCCGGAGAAGGAGCCCGGAAGCCCCTCGCCCCCGGCCTGGCGCGAGGAGTGCCCCGAGCCTGCTCCGCAGGCGCACGAACGCCTCGCAGGAGGCGCGAGGGCGTCTGAGAAGCCCCGCCGCCTTCTGAGAGGGTCTTTTCCTCGTCACTTCCGCCCCTCGCTCGCCGCCGACCCGAGGGGAGGGGAAGGGGGTCACCGAGCGCATTCCACTACGCGCAAAGTGCATACTCACAAACGCTAGAAAAAACACATGCTTGCTCTGATGTGATTTATCGTAGATCCCCCGCGACGGATCCAGGCCATTTGCGAGTAGGTACTTTGCGAGTAGTGGAACGCGCTCGTCTCTGCGGGGGAGGGGCAAGGGCGCAAGGAGTCCGTGCGCCGTCATTCTCGGCAGCCAGCGTCCCACTTCGAGTCCCCGGGGCCGTCGACAGCAGGTCCAGGGCAGAGGTGTCCAGGATCGGCCCCAGGAGTGATCCAGGGACCGATTTTGAGATGACTCTGTGCTGTGTGGATTCTCTAGAGGAGGAGCAAAGTCACAGGAGGAAGCGGTACCGATACCGCTACGTTTGCCTTGCGTTCGCTTTTCTGGAAGCCCTCGTCGCCACCGCTGGATTCGCCTCGAAATTTTGGTCAGAATGCACCCTGGGAGAGGTCTGGGGAGCAGCGGTATCGGTACCGCTTGGTTCCCCCACAAAGGAGAGGAGGAGGAGGAGGAGGAGGAGGAGGAGGAGGAGGAGGAGGAGGAGGAGGAGGAGAAGAAGAAGGTGCAGGCACGACGGGAGGGCGCGAGGAGGCAGGGAGGCGGAAGGACGCGGGAGGGAGGTGAATCACGAGCGAAAAATGGATGCTCACGTACATGAATCCACGTTGGTTTCGAGAGCACGCATCGCGCGAACGTTCGTAGCACGAGGCGGTTCTCGCGGATTGGGGACCGTATTCAGGTACGTGGTTGGGCGCGTACGTCTTTTGTGGGCTCCGTAGTGGAAGAGAAGAAGGATGGATGGATGGATGGAAACTCCCCCCATTGGGCAAGCATGTTGAAGCCTCGGGTTTGTCTCGGCAGGAAAGGGGCCACGGAGCCGGGAACAGAAACGACGGCGACATCCATAGTGCCCATCGAGGGAGAAACCGATAGTTCTTCCGGAGCATAGTTGTGGAAGTACTCTCAGCCTCCGCTCCGACTCAGACAGAGAGAGAGAGAGAGAGAGCGCGCAGTTAATTACGGCACCTTGTAGGACGGAGGGAGTGGGATTCATTCAAGGAGGCGGCGTGTTTTGCCTCACCGCGGCCCTGCAGCGCCTCATGTGGGCTCCCCAAGGTGGCATGCCTCTGCGTACCCAGCGCCCACGGAGTGTACTCACAGAAACAACCCACCCACCCATCTTTGTGGACGACGATCAATGGAGAGGAAGCATGTTGCCAAATAGTTCCATATGTTAAAACATGTTTTTACCATGTTTCAAACATTGAAAACACGTTTCTTTGTTGTTGTGTGTGTGCCTTAAAAAAACATGTTTTTAGAATATGTTTCTGGCATTTTAAACACATTTCGAATTCACTGATAGGGTTGTTAGGGTGTCCATTGTCATGGAATCCACAGCCCCATCTCGAGCCCATCTGTACCGACGGCGACCAGAACAAGGACGACGGCATCAACGCCACGCAAAAACAACGACGACAACGACACGACCACGACCACGGCCGACAGCAGAAACGACACGCCACACGACAACGACGACGACGGCAACGACGATTCCACACGACCGGGCCACACGACCGACGACGATTTCCAACAGAAACGACACGCCACACGACCGGGTCGCGTCCGCCTGCAGGCACAGGAGGAGGCCGTCCATCCCGGCCCACCCCGCCCAGCCAGCCCGACCTGCTGCAGTCGGGGGCCCCCGAACGGGGTGGTGACCACACTGTGTGGGGAGTCGGTGGGGATTCGGGGTCACCGCACGGTTTTGGGACTCGGGTCGTTCTCCGAGGACGTATCGGGCGACTGGGGCATCCGAGGTCCCAAAACCGTGCGGTGAGGTCTGGGGGGATTTCGAGGTCACCGCACGGTCTGTCACCGCACCGTTGCGGGACTCCAAATGCAGTCCACCCACAAGTAAGGAAGAGCAAGTTTTCAAGGTTGCCCTTTGAATCCTTCCCCTTTGACCCAGCCTTGGCCACTTTCGCTGGCCGCGCCCCGCTCGGAAGGTATCGGCACGGCCTTCCAAGGACCTTGCATCCTTGCCGCGCATCCTTGTTGTACGGGTTGACTGGTTACCAGCCCCGAGGGGACCTGGAGATCTGGAGGGAGGCATGCAGGGATGGACGGGGAAAAGGAGGGAGAGGAGTTCGAGGTTCTCCGCCAACCCGGCCCGACCCAGCCCAGTACCAGCAGGACCAGGAGGGAGGGAGGGGGAGAGGGAGGGAGGAAAAGAAAGGGAGAGAGGCAGGAGAGATGGAACTTTTTTGCTTGCCGGCGACAGCTGCAGGCCCCTGACGCAGCCGCCCCGCCCAGAAACGCATTCTCATATTAGATTACCCGCTGCCAGAGGGGGCTCCATCCAGCCTTCAGCGGACCTACGGACCACCTACGGCGGAGCCCAGCCTACAGCGGCATGGCCGGAAGCGGGTCCGACAGGGTTTGGTTCGGCAGGCGCCTATTGTTGCAAGGTTCCGTCAAAGGCAACACTTTCTGCATGAGGATCTCGGGCTCCTTCGGGAACGCGCTGATGTGGATGTGGCCGCCCATCATCAACCAAACGTGGATGGCTCCTTTTTGTTCTTGTCAAAGTGAATGATCACTCCACGCGGAATGGCATTGCCCATCGGGACAGGTTACCATGTAGATGTGGAGGTGTAAGGCTTACGGGGCGGCCGCGTCATCGCCCAATAGAGCACTGTACGATCAGATGGGATGCTCCCGGTCTGGAAGAAGCGGGTCCATCGTTATCGAACGTGTTGGTGCCATTTTCCCCTGGGTGGCGGTCTGCATCGCACTGACCCGTGCGAACTGCGCGATAATGTTTGTGGAGGCTTGGGGATGCGTTCTTCGGGAGCCAGCTGCCACAGAGGAGCGAGATGCTGAAGGGCCCCTGGTAAGCAGGGACATGTTGGAGGCCCCACATTGTCCGCATCCAGGGACATGTGAGACTGGTCCACGATGTGACGAGACCTAATCTGAGCTGTCCTTAATGGCACTCTTGGACCCGAGCCCGGCTGCGACGCTAACCATCCCTTCTAACATTGCCGGCACCACTGGCCAAGCGCGTAAATCCTCTGGCCTGCTTGCATGGGCATGTTCTGCGCCGCGCTGCATTCAGAACGCGCATCCTGATCTGGGTTGAGGGTTGCCGGGTGGGCAAACCGATTGGTTTCAGGATGTCGGGAAAGTTGTGCAGGAATGTCGTTTTCTGGTTTCCTTAGATCACTTAAAAGATGTGCTGAACATTGGCTTTGTATTCGTGCACATGTTTCCCCCAGACCTTCAGGAGACTTGGGACCGCCCGAGTCCTCTTCGACATCATAAGGCACGTAGGGGGCGTCCCGGCTGGAGGTGGCCGAACTCACCCGTTGTTCTGGGGGCGGCCTCCCCGCATGCACGCTCGGAGCCGCTGCTCCCGTAGGCCTCCCAGATGGGGTCCGAGTAGATGGGGTCGAAGGATCGCTCCGCCTCGCTGATGCTTGGGCGATTCGGCTCGTTGCATCACTGGCGTCGCCGATGCATTGCAATCCTCCAGCCCCATCTACTTGGACCTCATCCTCGGACCCCATCTAGGGGGCTCTATGGGTGTGGAGCTCGAGGGGGGGTGAAATTCGCCTCGACTCCCCATGTCGTAGAGACTTCTCTCGCATGGCTCAGTCGATGCATCACGGTCGGACCGAGGCATAAGACCGAGGTCGGTTCGGAGAGGGTAAGCTGAAGCGTTTCGTGTTTGTTGGATGTTATGGTGTATCCTGAGATACTCTTGGATGTTCTGTGTGGTTTGGCCGGCGGAGGGTCTCATGCTTTTGATGGATGTTTGCTTGTCCTAGGTCCGATTGTATTGTGCTCTGTCTTGGCCGCCGCCCTCAGGGTAGACTTGATGTTTGGGGAATGCTCCGACCACCACGATAGGAGCTTGCCTTGGTCGCCAGGAGGAAGGGAGAGGGAGACAGTTGGAGACCGCGTTCGTCCGCCAGGGTCTGCTCGGCGCCGCCGAGTTGCACCTGAACGGAAGGCTGGCGCAGGTGCCGTGGGGGAGCGGCCTGGCCGGCCGAAAGCCAAGGAGGGAGAAGGGAGGTGGAGGTGAGGAGGATCGAAGTTCCCAGACTTCTGTCAAGCAGGGGCGAGGCGTCTCGTCTTGTCTATAGGCCCACCAACGAATGTTCTAAGAACCTTTTGTGGTTTGCACGACATGTTCTCAGGACATTCCTGACTGAGAACGTTTCGGTTTGACACGTCGGACTCATGTTCTAAGGACGCTGTTGTTGCTATTCAAACGCTCTTTTGTTTTAAGAACGTCGCGGTAGGCCTATAGGAATGCCGGAACGGTCGGCACCTTCGCAATTTCTGACGGAGTGTTTATTTCAATCCCGGTGTTCTAATCGATCGGGCATAAGATCGAGGTCGGTTCGGGAAGGGTGCCCTAATGTTCTTCGTGCTTGTTGGATGTGCGATTGCACCTCTCTGAGGGAGGGTGCACTCGAATGTTCGTCAGTTTGGCCAGCAGAGGGCCTCGTGTTCTCGGAGGATGTTCTTTCTGTCCCAGGTTTGGCCGTATGTTGGGCCCCAGGGCTAGTTTTCTCTGGGTTCGGGGCGGCCGGCAGCAGCTCGAGACGGCACGTCGCCGGCCCCGCGGAGGTGGTCGGGACATTCAAGGGTCCGCGCTGCGAGCACGCATCATGATGTCGGTGGTCGGAGGAGCCAGAGGAGGAGGAGGAGGAGGAGGAGGAGGAGGAGGAGGAGGAGGAGGAGGAGGAGGAGGAGGAGGAGGAGGAGGAGGAGGAGGGAGAGGAGGAGGTTTGGCGTTGCGTAATTGATGGGGGCGATCAAGGGGGGGGGCTGCGAGGGCTGCAGAAAAGGGGCCCTCTGGCCTTGAGGGCCCGAAACGGGCACCCTTCTTCTTTCTTATGTATCGCCCCCTGTTAACTCACGCCCGCAGAGGATGATAAGAAGGAGGAAGAGGATCGAGTCTTGAGAATCGAGCGCACGAGGGGTCTTCAGTTTCGTCTTGGTGGGCGCGTCTTTTCGCAGCCAGGAGGAGTTGGCTCCGGCGGCTTGGGTGGGCTCCTGGGCGCAGAGCCCGGCAGGCACACTGGAGAGGAGCAGCCTGCCCGACCTGGCACGCCTGGGCGCCGCCGGCCTGCCGCTGGCCGCGGCTTGCTATGAAGCGCTCGGCGCGCTGCCGGGGCCGTGCCCCATTCGACGAGGAGGACGCTGCACTGGTGCTAGCGGGGCGAGGAGTCGCCTGGGCACGTCGGGAGAAGCCCAACGCTGCTCACGCGCAGGCTGGACCGAAGGACACACATCGCATTGCTGAGCACCATCGTCCCCGAGGACCATGCTCTGGCGGCGGCCATCGTTCGGCCTGCTGTCGCCTGGCGAGCGGCGGGCCCTGGAAAAGCCTGGAGGACGAGGCCTCGCCTCGGCACGGCGTGGACGTTCCGGTGCCACGCCTTCGCGCCGACAGGTGGCCGTTGACGGACGGGCGAGGACGGGCGCGGGCGCCGCGCCGCGCCTCCACCTGCGGCGGGGCCGTTCCATGTCAGCGTCCCAGGCTGGGGCGGCTGGCGCTGGGCGCGCCCGGCGCTTGGCTGCGCGGCGCGCGGCTACGCGGGCGCGGGCGACTTGGGCTGCGCTCGAGGCCCACCGCGAATTATTGTTCGACCACCTTGCCCGCCAGGTGCCGTTCCTGCGAGCGGATGTCAATGTCCAGCGCTGCGTGCCTGGCCACCGCGCGCCTTTTTCTTTTGGGCAAGCGCCGACGGCAACGTAGCCCGGCACGTGGACAGCGACAAGCGAAGGCGCTATCCTGACGGCCACACGTTCTGACGGGCGCTGCCGCTCGCGGTTGTTGCGGCACGGCACCGCTCCGAGGACTGGCCGCGCCTAAGCACTTGCGCTGGCTGGCGCGCAGCCGCGTCCAGCTGTCCGGCGACGACCCTGATACCGCCATCTCCGCCATCGTTTTCTTTGCGCGTTGGGGCGCAGAGCGCACCACGGCCCCGCGCGGTGCCACATGAAGTCGGCCCCGGGCCGCTTTTTCCAGCGCAAAAGCTTCCTGGCCGTTCCTGGCCGTCCTGGCCTCGCTGGCCGACGAGCTTGTGCGGTTGGCGCAAAATGCCACTGAGCGTTTGTGCTAGCCTCGCGGAGCTTGTTCGTTGCTTCGTTTCACCATAACGTCGTACACCTTCCAGCCGATCAGCGGGCGTCGCGAGTGCAACGCGTGCCCCCTGCACCGCTGGACGAGGACAGGAGAGGGTGGAAAGAAATAAGGGACAGGAGCATGAGGACATGTAGGACATGGAGGAGGAGGAGGAGGAGGAGGAGGAGGAGGAGGAGGAAGGGGAGGGACGGAATGATGGGGTTAAGTAAGATTCGACAAGGTGGATGGGGTGAAAGGGTGGCGAGCTGAGGAGTGGGTGAGGAGGAATACGGACGAGGAGGAGGACCTAAAGATGAGGCAGAGAGGGTGGTGAGATGTTCCATCCCCCTATTCGCCAGGTGATGAGGCCCGTCCGCCCAGCCGATCCGCACGAGACCGGCACGTGGTGCGTCAGGCCTCGGCCTCGGGGCGGGGTTGGCCTGTGCAGCCGCGCCCTTCCAATTGCCAGCAGGGGGTAGGATCGGACTTCGAGGAGCCAGCAAAGGAGGCTTGTGCCGTAGTTGCTCGTTGTTCCTGGGGCCCCGTGATCTCAAGGTTAGCAAAGTGTCACCAGGAGAGCCCCCGAACAGGTCCCTGATTGTTCAATGGTGCATGGGAGGGGGAACGAATGCAGAAAGACGAGGAAAATGAGGCAGTTGATGCTTATACGCTTTTGTTTGAACATCTGTGTGGGTTGTGTTTCGTTGTTGTCTGTTTGTGTCCTTGGTAATGTGGAGACCTTACAGGTTACCCGGTGACTTCCATATCTACACAAACAACACAAGTTGAGGTGTATCGTCTTGTTTACGTCTAGTGTTATGCATGTTTGCTTCCGTCAGTTTCCCTCTCTTTGTTTGCTTGTCTATGACTCTCTCATTCTCTTTATCTGGCGTATCTCTTGTTATTGTTGGTGTATACGTCTCTCTTTCTCTCTCTCTCTCTCTCTCTCTCTTCCTCTTTGTATAGATGCAACTCTCTCTCTCTCTCTCTCTCTCTTTGTTTTTCTCTCTCTCTCTCTCTCTCTTTTTCACACACTCTCTCTCTCTCTCTCCCACCCCCTCTCTCTCTCTTTCTCCTCTCTCTGCCTCTCTCTCACTCCCTCTCTTTCTCGTTCGTTATTTCTCTCTCTCTCTCTCTGTCTTTGAATTGTTGTTCTCTCTCTCTCTCTCTTTCTCTCCCTCTCTCTCTCTCTTCCCCTCCTTAGCCTTGTCTCGAGCACCCCCGACGTGCGCGCGCAGTCACGAGGGTATCCACTCCACCCCAGGGCCTTGCAAAAGTTCACCCGTGAAGGCTGGATGCGCTCTCGGGAGCGAAACTGAGCGACACCCGCCTCCCAGTTCGTTCCCTTGCCGCGGCCGCCGGGGCCAATGGCCCACCGCGAGATGAATACGGTCCTTCCGACAGAGGCCCCGCACGCCGCCGAACAGACCATTCGCGTCTGCCCGCGACGACGCGGGCACTCCACGCCTCGCTCCGCCGCTGCAGGGCCTGCGCGCAGGGCAGGACCACGTGCAGGCCGCCCACGCGTGCAGCAGGGACTGCCTTGTCGTCAGTTGCCAGCCTGGAACATGACCCCGTCCCTATGCTGGGCACCTCCTCATCACGATGCCAATCTTAGGGATTCCCTTACTTTTTGAGGGCGAATCCCTAAGATTGTCATCGCCTTTTGGCGTGTCAATCTTAGGGGTGTGGATACGTTCGAGGCTGGTATATCAGCGTCGGCTCGAACCTTTCTCTGGGAGCGCCGCTCTTCGACCTGCCTGCTGTTCTGCGCCAGGGACCCTGCATACTTACCCTAATTACGCGACGCCCGGGGAGGCGCGCGCCTGGACCAGCCTTCAGTCGTGCCTGTCCCTCTATAGGGGGAACATTCAAAAATAGTCAAACAACTAATTATCCCAGTGCGACCCTACCTAGGAGTTGGAGCCCCTAGGAAAGCAGCATTAGTAGTAACAGTAAAGCTAAGCTAAAGCTAAGCTAACGCTAAGCAAAAGCTAAGCTAAAGCTTAGCTAAAGCTAAGCTGAAGCTAAGCTAAAGCTAAGCTAAGGCTAAGCTAACACTAAGCTAAAGCTGAGCTAAAGCTCAGCTGACGCTAAGCTAAAGCTAAGCTAAAGCTAAGCTACCGCTAAGCTAAAGCTAAAGCTAAAGCTAAGCTAAAGCTAAAGCTAAAGCTAAGCTGAAGCTAAGCGAAAGCTGAGCTAAAGCTAAGCTAAGGCTAAGCTAAAGCTAAGCTAAAGCTAAGCTGAAGCTAATACAAAGCTAAGCTAAAGCTAAGCTAAAGCTAAGCTGAAGCTAAGACAACTTTAAGCTAAAGCTAAGCTAACGCTAAGCTGAAGCTAAGACAACTTTAAGCTAAAGCTAAGCTAACGCTAAGCTACAGCTAAGCCAATGCTAAGCTAAAGCTAAGCTAAAGCTAAGCTAACACTAAGCTAAAGCTAAGCTAATACTAAGCTGAAGCTAAGCTAAAGCTAAGCTAAAGCTAAGCTAAAGCTAAGCTGAAGCTAAGCTGAAGCTAAGCTGAAGCTAAGCTAAAGCTAAGCTAAAGCTAAGCTAAGGCTAAGCTAGCACTAAGCTAAAGCTAAGCTAAAGCTAAGCTGAAGCTAAGCTAAAGCTAAGCTAAAGCTAAGGCTAAGCTAGCACTAAGCTAAAGCTAAGCTAAAGCTAAGCTAAAGCTAAGCTAAGCTAAGCTAAAGCTCGGCTAAGGCTAAGCTAAGCTAAGCTAAAGCTAAGTTGCTAAGCTAAGCTAAATCTAAGCTGAAGCTAAGCTAAGCTAGCTAAGCTAAGCTGCTAAGCTAAGCTAAAGCTAAGCTAAAGCTAAGCTATAGCTAAGCTAAAGCTAAGCTAAAGCTACGCTAAACCTAAGCTAAAGCTAAGCCAAAGCTAAGCTAAATCTAAGATTAAGCTAAGCTAAAGCTAAGCTAACGCTAAGCTAAAGCTAAGCTAACGCTAAGCTAACACTAAGCTAAAGCTAAGCTAAAGCTAAGCTAACACTAAGCTGAAGCTAAGCTGAAGCTAAGCAACGCTAAGCTAAAGCCAAGCTAAAGCTAAGCTGAAGCTAAGCTAAAGCTAAGCTAAAGCTAAAGCTAAAGCTGAAGCTAAGCTAAAGCTAAAGCTAAGGCTAAAGCTCCCAGGGGACTGGGGGAACCGCGGGGCGGGGACTGGGGGAACCGCCCGGGGCGTGTAGCACTGCCCGGCCCCTTTAAGCAAAGAGAGTAAGAACCCTTCTAGGCAGAGCCTAGGTAGGGAATCTGGGGACTATGTTTTGAGCATTTGTGGGCATCTCTTGAATCTGTGTTGACTCTTTCTTATTTTCTTCGCCCATCCCCCTGTAGGGGGACACGCCCGACTTAAGACCAGCCCGGGCGGCCCCACGACCAGGAGGACCACGGGAAGGCCTCCTCCCGGGCGTCCTGGCGCACGGGCTCCGTGCTGCCTTCCGGGCCCGCCGCGTCCGCCCTCGAGCTGCTCCGGGAGCGCCGCGCGGCTCTGCAGGCCATCCACACGCCGGCCCCCGCGCATTTTTTAGACGGGAGACGACGATCCCTCTGCCATAGTCTTACGTCGGGCGCGTCCCTCTACAGGGGGGATGTACAAAAATGGTTAAAAAGATAGTCGGGGGACATTTTTTCTGTATTTTTGAGCATGTTTGGAGTATTGTATTTGCTGGGTACTCCTAATTTTTCATTCAAAAGTCCCCCTGTAGGGGGACAGGCCCGGCCCAAGTATAGTCTGTTGTGGAGCGATGTGCGTTCTGCCACACGTGCGCCCCAGAGACATCGTCCCCCTCGCCACCCGCGCCGCAGCCTCCCCCGCAGCCGACGCCCACCTTTTGTGGGGTCGCCATCCGGCGGCTCCTTCCTCGCCCACCCTGGGGCATGATGATGACGACGATGAGGCGGGCGATGAGACCAGTCGACCGCCGGACCGAGCCCCTCGACTGCCGCCACGAGGAGGAGCATGAGGACATTGTCGTTCCTGCCATCCTTCCTCTTCCCGTTTCTGCGCACGGGCGTGCAGGGAACCCTGGCACCATCGAGGACGCGGGATGTCACACATTTTGCGTCCATCCTAGCGCCCACCTGCCATTCACCGAACCCCCTGGGATCCCTGTTCCCCACAGGCCTTGCGACTTACTGTCCAGGGTTTTTGGATTCCAGTCCACATCGGAGTCGCTGCTGGAGAGCCTCGGGAATGGATTCTTGGGGATTCCATGAGCGATCCTTTGTAACCCCTTTCCGGCGGCAGCCTGCGGTCTCCTGCGGCAACATAAGGTTCCCAGCGGCCTTCTGAGGTTTCTGGCGTCCTGGGGTCGAGTGCCCATTCCCGAAGTCCCTTGCGCGAAGTTTCCTGAAGTCTCCTGTGGCTTCCTGCGGTTTCCTGCGGCCTCCTGAGGTGTCTTGAGGTATCGGTTTCCTCAGGCATACTGCTGTTTCCTGGAGTTCTTCTTGGGTTCTCCTGTGGGTTTCCTGGGTCTCCTGCGGCCTCATCAGGCCTTCTGAGTTTTACTGGGGGTTCCTGCGGTGTTCTGAGGGCCCTTGAAGCCTCCAGGGATTTTCTGCGGCCGCCTGCGGTTTCTTGTTGCCTCGTGAAGTCTCCTGCGGCCTCCTGACGCTGGAAGTATCTTGTAGTTCCCTGCGGCTTCCTAGAGTCTTCTGCGATTTCTGAGGTCTCCTGCGGCCTCCTGGTGTATCCTGCGGTTTTCCTGCAGCTTCCAGTTTCCTGCTGCCTCCTGAGGCCTCCTGAGGCCTCCAGGGGCTTCCTGCGGTTTCACGCGGCCTCTTGGAGACGCGGCTGGGCCATCCACCCGCAGGCAGGACGGAGGCCAGGAAGAGGAGGGGCGCGAGGGGGGGACGCCTGCAGTCTGCTCCGCCCTGCCTCCCGCGGCGGTCCGGGACGGGGGAGGACCCGGGCGGAATTCTGGCTGACCCAACAACTCCTCCTCCTCCTCCTCCTCCTCCTCCTCCTCCTCCTCCTCCTCCTCCTCCTCCTCCTCCTCCTCCTCGGGGTCCAGCTGCAAAGGGGTGGTGCAATGGATTTGGGACAAATTGTGCTGCAAATGTACTGCGCCGGAAAATTGTCTTGCACTGCACTGCAACAAGAAGCATCGCACGCGGAAGTCCAGCAAGGCAGTTGCCCCCCGGAATGCACTGCGCGCCCCGAATGTACTGCAGCCCCACCAATCTGTTGCACCAAATTTGCTGCACCACCCCCTTGTCGCTGGACCCCCTTGTGGGGTAAGTCGGGCCTGTCCCTCTACAGGAGGAATATTCGAAGATAGTAGAAAATAGTCTGGGGACGATTTGTTTGACAATTTTTGACCATTGGGGTGCTTTTGTTCGGATTTTTTGTTAAAATGAACTTTCGCCCCCAATCCGCCTGTAGGCGGACAAGCCCGACCTAGCTTTTGGGTCCACCCTCCGAGGCGGGAATTTATCCATATCCACCGCCTGGAGGGTCAGTTTTCGGAGCCTCGGCAGGCGGTGGATATGGACATGTTCGGGCCCCCGGGGGCCGATATATATATATATATATAATATATATATATATATATATATATATATATATATATATATATATATATATATATATATATATATATATATATATATATATCCACATCCACCGCCCGCTGGGGCACCAGGACGTCGGTTCCCTGGCGGTGGATCTGGAGAAGTCCCCGCCTCGCAAAGCCCGAGCCCCCGGCACAGGCTGGAGCCCTGCGACCCGGAGGGCGCGTGGCTGCGGCTGCGCCCGGCGAGGCTGCGGGCGGCCCTCGCCGCGACACCCGCGCACGGCCCGTGCCAGGCCCCGCCGAGCTCCTCTCCGCCCGCCAGGGCGCGAGGGATCGGGCAGCGACGACGAGGACGCTCCTCCTCCTCCATCTCCTCCTCCTCCTCCTCCTCCTCCTCCCTCCTCCTCCTCCTCCTCCTCCTCCTCCTCCTCCTCCTCCTCCTCCTCCTCCTCCTCCTCCTCCTCCTCCTCCTCCTCCTCCTCTCCTCCTCCTCCTCCTCCTCCTCCTCCCATCTCCTCCTCCTCCATCTCCTCCTCCTCCTCCTCCTCCTTCTCCTCCACCTCCTCCTCCACCTTCCATCTCATCCTCCTCGTCTAGCAAGACGGCCCGACAGCGCCCAAAGAGGAACCCACGACTGCCCAGAGAGGCCGCCAAGGCAGCCTCCGAAGGCCAAGAGGCCCTTCAGAGGCCTCCAGAGGGCGGCCCCCAAGAGGCCCTTCCGAGGCCCCCAGGAAGCCCTTCCGAGGCCTCCGGGAAGCCCCAAGGATCGAGGTCTGGATGACGACCAACAGAAATTTGTGCCGCGGGTTTTTGGCAGTTTTTGTCGGCCTCCGGGGGGCCCTCGCCGGAGCCCGGGACCGTCAAAGCACGACTCAGGGCGAAAAACCGGCCCCGGGGAAGTGGTCCAGATCCCCGGTGCCCAGGCATTGAAAAGGAGCCGCCTGCGGTGCGCGGTGCCGAGGTTTGTAGGCCGTGGTTTGTCCTCCTCCGGACCTCCGACGTGGTCGTTCTGCACTCCCGGGCTCTGTTTTTCGAGCACGACCTGCAGAGGCGCCCTCCTGGGTTCCCGGGCTTGTCCCAGGGTAGTATCGAGCTCCCCGGTCCCCGCATCGAAACATGATTGCGACGCCCGAAAGCCTCGATCCTCGAGACTGGGGTTCGGAGTCCGCAGAGTGAGGAGGAGGAGAAGGAGGAGGAAGAGGAGGAGGAGGAGGAGGAGGAGGAAGAGGAGGAGCGCTCCAGTCCCCGCATCGAAAAATGATTCGGAGGTGTGGATCTTCGGATGCAGCTGCGAAGGAGTTGCGGCGTCGGGCCTGGCAAAGTCGCCGAATGTTGTGCTGAGCCGAGCACGCGCCAGTTCCCCGAGCAGCTTGCCTGGACCAGGCTGAAGCCTTCATCATCCTAGGAGTTTCAGTATTCCGCATCCTCTCCTACTCCTCTCCTACTATTCCTCCCCCCCCCCCTGCGATTCACTCTTCGGGCCACGGACAGGCGGGGCCGAGACCGCGTGTCTGTTCGCTCGCTCGCTCTTCCTCGTCGCTCTCCTCTTCGTTCTCGCTCTCATTCCTCTCGCTTCTCGTGTGGCAGCGCCCTGCGCGTGAGACGGTGCGGCGCGCCGAGGGCGCCTCCCCGGATCCGCCCCCGCGCGAGCGGCAGCTGTCGTGCAGCTGCCGTCGCCGTCGCCGGTCGCGTCTGGCTGCTCGGTCTTCTCCTCTGCCCGGGCCTCGCGCTCCTGCGCGGGCGCACACGAGGCCCACCTGGAACCCAGGACCCGGTGCCTTCTCCTCATGTCTCCCCTGCCTCGGCTTTCCTCTTTCCTCCTCGTGATCCCCTGCTTCCACCCCTCGCCCCTCAACGTTCTCGCCCTCCCCCTTCCCCATCTCATGCTCCCACCTCCCCGCATACCTTCCTTCGCATCTTGCTCCCTCTCCCAGGATCCTCATCCTTCTCTCGCCACTCGGACCCTGGAACCGACCTGAATTTGGATGGGAATCCAGGAGTCCCAAACAGAGTAATCATGTCCACAAGCCTCGGCGGTCGCCGGGGTGGCCCCCGCATCCTCGTCGACCGCCGCGCCGATCTTCAGAAACTTAACACGATCGTGCGAAACGCCCCAAATCCTTTGCAACATCACAGGCAGGCTCCCAGGAACCTCCCCACATCCACTGAAGCCCCCAACTCTCTCAAGACCAAAGTCTTTCCACGGAACTTCCTCGTCGTCGTGGTCGTCGTCTTGCTCACGTCCACGATCGATTTGCGCAAGATACGTTCCTGGAGCCATCCCCGGGATCCATCTTGACCAGTGCTTCGTCCCCGAAGCTCGAACTGGGCCCCAGAGGCCTAGCTGAGGAAACATCTGTGGCGCGATGTTTCCAGCTAACTCGTGGGGTAGAGAGATGATCGCACTTCAATCGTAGCGATCAGGGCCAGAGAGCTGCCATCCGTTCAGGGCAGGGGGCGCCGCGAGGGCATGAAGATTACCGCGTGTCGCGCATCGCGCGGCGCGATGCGTGAAGTTGCGTGGACTGGCCAGGTGTTCCTCCCGCGTCGATTCCTCCGGCCCTGGGGTCTTTGAGACGGGCCCCCAGAGACAGAGTTATCGCACACCAGGCCTCTTCGAATTTGTCGTCGACGCTGACGACGGCGACGACGGCGACGATGGCGACGCTGACGGTGACGGCGACGGCGACGACGACGGCGATGCTGGCGACGCTGGCAGCGATGACGGCGACGACGGCGACGACGGCGACGACGGCGACGACGGCGACGACGGCGACGACGACAACGGCGACGACGGCGACGCTGGCGACGGCGCGACGAGGACGGCGACGGCGGGGACGACTCGTTCCCTGGCAGGGCGCCGACGCCATCGGGCGGCTGGCGCACATGTCTCCGATGCGGGACGTGCTGCGCGGGCTGGGCGCGGAGGCGCTCTGCGCCCTCAGGCCCGCTCTCCCCTAGGGGGAAAACAAACCTGCCTCGCGTTTGACCACCCTCGCTTCCAAGTGATACCAAAGGATGCCAAGTTGCAGCCTGTACTGGTCAGGCCGCGTGACAAGGAGGCGCGTGGTATGGCTTGGTTCTGCCTGGAAGCGAAAGCGGGGTAGGTATTTCACGCTCCCCCCCCCCTCAAAGCGGCCAAGCACCCTCGCGGGCCTCGGTCCTCGGCGTCGCCGTCGTTTGGCTTCAGGGTTTCGCCGCGATCGGCGCGGGCCCCTGGCCTCCCCCCCCCTCCCCCCCCCCCCTCCGCGGGCCAGATCGTGGCTGTTTTTCGCGACTGGTCGTGGCCCCTGCACCCCAGTCTGCTCAACGCGACTGGCGAAGGCAGCGCGACGAAGCACCCGGATCCCCCCCCACCCTTCGGCCAGATGTCGAGACTCAGAGTAAGAAACCGCCCAGGATGTTCGACGGCGAGCGGAGGGGGGAGGTGAGGAGGAGGAGACCCTCTCAGCCTAGGATCTTCGGCGGCGAACAGCAGGGGGGGAGGCGAGAAGGAGAGAGGGCTCTCTCGGAAGGCGGCGGGACTTCTCGGGAGCCCAGGTGCCCTCTGAGAGGTGTTCCGTGCCTTCGGGGAAGTTTTCAATAATCACACGTGTTTAGAGCAAGGTATTTTTAAAACAGTTTTGTATCACACTTGTTCGGGTTTTGTTGTTATCACACTTGTTGGGAAGGCTTAGAAGACTTCTCAGAGGGCCGGAGTGTTTCCGAGCCCTCTGCGAAGGCCGGCCCCCCTCTCAGTGCCCCCCCTCTGGGCGTGCCGCCAGTCCAAGCGGTCACGCGCCGTCGCAGCCCTCGGTCCTCCATGTGGGAGGAGTGGGCACGAGGAGGAGGAGCCTCACCTTCCTCGTCGTCCACTTCGTCGTCGTCCCCCTCCTGCTCTGCCTCCCTCCTCCCTCTTCGTCCTCCCCCTTGAGGGTGTTCTTTGTGGCCTCCAAGACATTTCGGGACACTCCTCCCCTGGAGGCTCGGGGATCAAGATTCGAGATTCTTTGGCGCGTTTGTCTCTGAATCGGGGCTTCCTGAGGTGCCTGGCTCCTCCTCGATCCCCTTCGAAGAAAAGAACAGTTTGGAATCATGGAAGTAGTCCTCGATCATCCTCCTCTTCCTCCTCCTCCACCTCGCCCTCCTCGCCTTGAGGTTCGAGTGTGTAGAGTTCAAGTTTCTGTCCTTTCTTAGCCCTCTTGAAGCCTCAAGGGGCCTCCAGTGACCCCCGGGCATCCAGTGGGACCCCCCTCCTCATCCCTTTGAGGTTTTAGGCCGACGATCCAGGAGGGAAGAGGGTATCAGGAGTGGAAGGAGAGCGAGGAGGGAGAGAGGAGGGAGGGAGGGCGGGAGGGAAGGAGGGAGGGATAGGAGGAGGTCTGTTGGACGCGGCATTGCAACAGTCTGCATGCCGATCAAAGTCCGACCCCTATTTCCCCAGAGCCAAGGTAATCATGGACATGGTGTGCGACTCATCCCGCCCACCCCCCCCGATTCAACGGGGGTCGCCTTGCTGCCCCAGCCACGAATCAGTAGGCGGTCCAGAGCAGACAAACAGCGGGGTGTGCGGGATGGCGCCAGGCCGTCGTCACAGGAAAGCAAAACCGGCGAAGCTGACGTGGCACCGGGCTAATTCGTAGTAATCTCACTCGGCCACGATCTTGCGCTACTGCAGACCTCTGGATTCCAAGAATGCAGCAGCAGATGGCAATGAGAACCACAAACAGACGGCAACAATAACCACATCTACGGGATGATGGGCCAGAGCAGCCACAACCAGCATTTGCGAGGATAGGCGGGCACAGCCAGAGTCAGCGTTTGCTTGGCTAGGCCGGCACAGCCAATATGGCAGACTTACCATGCATCTAGACATCTAGACTCCTTCGGGGACCCTGAGTTCGCCGCCAGACAACGCCGTATGGCTCGCAGCGATTGCAACTGCACCATTCAAGCAGTGGCGAAGCGTCCTGGCTCGCCTATAGCCCTACCAAAAAATGTTTTAAGAACCTTTTGTGGTTTCCATGGAATTGTCTTAGAACATTTCTGGTTGACATGGTCTTGTTCTATTAACACATCGGGTTTATGCTCATTGTTCTTGTTCTTAGAACATTTTGGGTTCTAAGAACATTTCGTGGTAGGACTATAGGAATGCCGGGACGGTCGGTCCCTGCTCAAACCATGTTTGAGGGCGAATGGGGAGATGGGGAGGGAAACAACGGAGGAGGGGGAAGGAGGAGGTCGAGGCTCGAGCAGCGAGCATGGAGGCTCAGGGAGCCTCTCGGGGGCATCCGCGCGCGTCTGGAGGCCACCGTGGGCGGGCCCCACCTGGGGACCTCTGAAGGCTTTGCGTCGCAGTCTGGCTCTGGGCCACGGCACCAGAAAGAACACACACGACCCATGATGGAAATGCTTCTCCCGGGGAGAAGCCGAGCCACCAAAGATTTGCGCCTCTACTTTCTCCTCCCTCCTTTCTCTTCCCTCCTTGCTCCGTCTCCTCTCTCCTCCTTCCTCCATCCTCTCATAACATATCTACCTTCCTTTTGCTTCTCAAGCAGCTGCGTTAAATTGTCTTCCTGCGAGGGTTTCATCCCTAACCAGTCGTGGAGGCAGAGTCATCATCATCAGCAGCATCATCACCATCATTATCAGCATCGACATCAGCATCATCATCTGCATCGTCATCGTCATCGTCGTCGTCATTATCATAATCATCATGACCAGCATCATCATCAGTATCAGCATCAGCAACAGCATCAGCATCAGCATCATCATCACTATAATCATCATCATGATTATCATCACTATCATCTTCGTCATCGCCATCGTCATCGTCATCATCATCATCATCATCATCATCATCATCATCATCATCATCATCATCATCATCATCATCATCATCATCATCATTCTCATCGTCATCATCGTCATCATCGTCATCATCATCACCATCATCATGGTATTTTCGTCAAAGGTGTATCGTGCCCGTGTACGAGCACCGCGTGGCCCAGAAAGCGTCCCTCCCCCATCCCCTGTCGTGCTCCTTCCCTTCTCGGGTCGAGGGGCCCGCTCTCCCCAGATCGCTCTGCCTGCGTGTGCCGTGGATTCCGGTTGGTGTCCCCAGGATTCGGGACGATTGGGGTTGTGTCGGGAGGGGGAAAAAACACAAAGACACAATTAATTCTGGATTCCCCAGAAAATATGGGAAACTATGGGAAGTGGGGGGGAAGACAAAAACCATCCAGAAAATATAGGAAAATAGGAGGAATCCTTTTATTTGTATGCATTTATCTGTGTGTCCTTGGGCCCCTTGATCGTGGCTTGCGTTCCGCACATCGTTCGCTGAATTTTGCTGGTGTGCGCAGGTTCTCGGGGGACTGCGCAGGCGTCGAGAGGTTCTCCGAGGTTTTTCCTGGAAATCTGTATCCTGCAAGCGCCGACCAGTTCTTTTGGGGGAGGATCCTGCGGGCCTGGGATATGTCAGTGGGCTTGGGAGGGTCCTTCAAAGTGCAGTTGCTCTTGTGTCCACGTGTCGCTGGATTTGTCATGAAGTGAGGGGTCTTGAGGGAAGCGGGTCTCAGACCCTGGGAATTTCCCCAGGACCATCTCTTCATCCCGAGAAGTTGGTTAACGGTCCCAGGGCTTGCGCATGGCCGCAGGGGGCCCTAACGTGGCGAAATTAATCCACGGCCCTTCTCCTCCAGGACCCGTTTTTGTTCAGTCCAGGGGGTGTTGTTATTGTTGGTGTTGTTGATGTTGTTGTTGTTGTTGCTGCTGTTGTTGTTGTTGTTGTTGTTGTTGCTGTTGCTGTTGCTGTTGCTGTTAATGTTGTTGGTGGTGGTGTTGTTGTTGTTCTTGTTGTTGCTGTGGTTGTGGTTGTTGTTGTTGTCAGTGGTGGTAGTGGTGTTGTTGGTGGTGGTGTTGGTGTTGTTGTTGTTGTTCTCCCTCTGTTTCGGCCTCACGTCAGGGCCTGCGGTCGGAGGTGCCTGCGGCTGGACCACGAGATGGGCTCCGCCGCTTGGCGCACCGCGTGCGAGCGGCAATGGGGCTCCAAGTCGTCGCGCTTCCACCTGACCGACGAGCGCAGCGCGGAGCTGGTGCGGACGACGACGACGACGACGACGACCACGACGACGACGACGACGACGACGACGACGACGACGACGACGACGACGACGACGACGACGACGACGACGACGACGACGACTAGGCTCCCCTGGGGCCTCTGGAGGCCTCCACGGACCTTCAGGCACGTCAGATCTCTGGGCTGAGGAGGGTGCCGAGGGGCCGTCCCCCCTGGCACGGGGGGTCGTCGGAATCCAGCCCGCGGCGAGAGAGTGCGGTCCCAGGAGGCAGGGGCTCGAGGGCTCCAGGGCCGACGCGCTGGACAGACATTCCACGTCGGGGGAGGGCAACTGGCCTTACGTCGGGCCTGTCCCTCTACAGGGGGAAGATTCAAAAATAGTCACTGGGGACTATTTTTTATATTTTTTGGCATCAATTGGGCATTTTTGGAGTATTTTTAATTGTTCGCCCAAAATCCCCCTGTAGGGGGACAGGCCCGACTGAAAGCTAGCCGCCTGACCAATGAGCACCTTGGCCAGCAGTTGGTCCACCCTCCTCCTCCTCTTAGAGTCTTGTCTGGAGGCTCACGCCATTCCGCCGACCCCCCGGGGATGAGCGAGGAGGAGGAGGAGGAGGAGGAGGAGGAGGAGGAGGACACGGGCGAGGGCGAGTGCGAGAGGACGAGGAGGACGGCAAGGTGTGTGATACGTGGGGTGCCTTCTGTTCGAGTGCCACTCGCTCCCCGCGCTTTCGGGGGGATTGTTCAGTGCTCGGTTTCGTGCCAGGAGTGGCTCCCGCGCAGTCGCTTCTCCGCACACGAGGCTCACTTCTCCCGCACTGCTCGGGATGGAGAACTCGCATGTTGGGCGCGTCGCGTATGAATCGAGGCGTTTACGGTTTGGAGTCAAAGATGAGGTCATACGAGAGATGGTGGTTGGGGTCTCGGGGGGATGGAACGGTAGGGGCAGGAGAGGGAGGAGGGGGAGAGGAGGAGGAGGGGGACGACGACGAGAGGGAGGATTTTGAGAAGGAGGAGCAGAGGAGCGTCGTGTGAGCATGGTTGGGTGTTTGGGTTTGTGGGGCGTCGAGATGTCCTTGTTACCTTTGGGCTGGGGCAATCCGAGCATAAGCCGTAACATTCGGCACTGTGCACCCCGAGTATCTTCAAGCCGGGTCTGCCGCGGGGCTTCGTAGGGGCCTCTTGGAGGTGTGTCGGGGGGGAGCTTCTTGGGAGCCCTTGGAGGGCTCCTGAAGGCCTGATGAGGTGCTCAGGGGGTTTGCTTGGGGGACTCTTGGGTGCATGTTGGTTCTGACGTCCGTCTGGTTCGGGCATGCGTGTCGTTTCTTCTGTTTCCTCTGTATAGGGGTTCCCCGTGATTTTTGTGCCTTCGAGGTGCCGTGCACCATTCACACCCCATTCTTCTGGCCGAGTTCGACTGTAGGGGCGGGAATGGAGGCGTTGGGTGCTGGACGTTCTGGGCCCCCGTAGGCGAGAGCCTTCCCTGGGGCGTCGTGGCGCCAGCTGTACCACAGCCACATGTCCGCGGCCCGCGAGCCGTTCGGCCCGCGCCACCTCACGGAGTTGAGTTGGGGGTTCAACTTCACGCGCGAGGCCGGAGGTGTCGGCCTCATGACGGCACAGATCGTGAGGTTCGAAGACAAGTCTGAGTCGATGGGTTGCAGCGTCTTGCACATGAGGGGCTTCCAGCCGCTTCCGTGCCGGCTGCACGGTTCGGTCTTGCAGATTGCGAATTTCGCGCCGCACATCATCAGGCGCCTCCCCAGTTGGGAGTGGCAGATCGCCAACTCGAACGTGATCTTCCTGTCTGGGCCCCTGTTGCCCGTGGAGCTCAGCGTCGATGATACCATCAGAAGTCTGCACTTGTTTCCTGATTCCTGTCTGCTCGGCATCCCCGAGGACGGGCCGTGACTGTGGACCGGCCACGGGCGTGGACACTGCACGGCTACCAGCCCTGGCGCAATATGTGTCTTGGTTGTGTTCGCCATTGTGGGTCCAGCCTGAAGTCGGGTATGTCCCTCTACAGGAGGAATATTCAAACATAGTCAAAAAATCGCCTGGGACGATTTTTTGATAGTTTTGATTTTTTTCGTCTAAAATCCGCCTGCAGGAGGACATGCCCGACCTCAGTCTGGCCCCAGCCCTGGCACAATACGCCCAAGAGGCTTGTGCCACCCCGCAGGCCGGCCCCCAGAAGGGAGAGAGCGACGTCCGCGGTGGTCTCGCCAGGTTCGGGCGGGAGCCAAAGTGACCGCGCTGGCGTCGGGGGTCCGAGGACCGTGGATTTCGATTTGCGGTAAAGGCGGATTCGAGACAAAACGAGGGAAAACGAAAACATAACGAAAACGACAAACACCGTTCGAGGACCGTGGATTTGGTACAGTGGGGGGCCCTTGGCAAGAAACGCCTTGCTTGCCTCCAGGGTGCCCCTTGGGTTTCGACGGTGTTGCTGTGTCGAAGGCGTGCCGTGCCCCGTTGCAACAATCAAGGGACGACCTGGGGTCTCAGGGTTGGGCTTCTTGTGGAAGGCTTCTTATGGACGGGCCTCCACTGCATGAGTTGGCCGTTGCTTCCGTACAGGGTGGCAGATGTAAGTTGTGGGCCGAGCAGGTATCGAGGACGCCCACGGCGAATTAGTGCCGCCCCCTGCCTTTTAGGGCACGCCTATGTGGCCAAGCGTTTGGGCAAGGTTTGGCCACGCTATTGGACCATGCGTTCCCCCAGCCGTTGTGGCATTATCTTCGGGGAACACGTGGGGCAGGAAGGGGAGGATGAGGAGAGGGAGGAAAAAGGAGGATGAGGAGAAGGATGAGGAAACCTCTCGGGAGCCTCTTTGGGCTTAGTTGAGGCCTCCTGGGGTCTTTCTAGGGACATCTACGAGGCGCCTTCGGGAGGAGCTTTTGGGGGGCTTCTTGGGGTCCTCCTTGGCCATCTTGCAACGTTCCTGGCGCGTCTGACACCGTCGGAAGTCGTCTTGGGAGCCTCTTTGGGCCGTCCTGGGGACCTCTTGGGCCGCTTCGGGGTCGTCTGGAAGGCCACCTTGGGCGTCTTCGAGGCCTATTGAGCTGTCTCGGGGCCCTTTGGGCGCCGTTTTGGAGCCTATTGGGCTGTCCTGGGGCCATCGTAGAGGCCTCTTGGGCGATCTTGGGGTAATCTTGGGGTACTCTGGGGCCGTCTTGGGCCGTCGGAAGGCCATCCTGCTGCAAATGCCAAAATCCATCAATCACCGGAGGACAAACAATGATTTTGGCCTCTTCGGGCCTTCCTGGAGGACCTCATGGAGGCCTCGTGACCCGTCTTGGGGGCATCTTGGGCGCTTCTTGGGCCGTCTGAGGCTTTCTTGGACCATCCAGGCGGTCGTGGAGGCATCTTGGAGGCCATCCCGGGGCTATCTTGGGCCCTCTTGGGGCCATCCTGTCCGTCCAGGAAGCCACCTGGGCCGTCTCGGAGGCCATCTTAAGCAGAAACGCCGACGGGAGACGCGCTTGGGCAAGCTTTCCGGGTGACCAGTGCGCTGGGCCGAAGACCTTTGGGGGGAGCTGTTAAAAGCACCAACAATCATGTTGTCTGGAGCGACTCCCACCCGAACCTGCGGTGTTTGTTCCCGACGGCGCGCGCCTCGCGGGACAGCGCGCGCGGGGCCTACTTCTTTTTGATCAGCGCGTTTTTTTTGTTAAAAAACATTATTATTATTATTATTATTATTATTATTATTAATATTATTATTATTATTACTACTACTACTATTATCATCATTATTATTATTAGTATTACTATTATGATTATTATTATTAATATTATTATTAGTATTATTATTAGTAGTATTAATGTTGTCATTCTTATTAGTATTATTATTAGTAATATTATTATCATTATTATTATTATTGGTATTATTGCTATTACTGTTATTATTGTTATTATGAATAATATTATTTTCACAATTATGATATGCTCGATGCTGCGTTCTCGAATCCTCTGCTCTGTGATACCGTGGTTGCTGCTCTGTTGTAGTCTGACCTAGTAGCTCCAGGATCGTCACCGGGTACTGCTGCCCCAACTTCGTTTTTACGTTGCTTCTTGGACATATGAGTAAGGTGATCTTTGTGTTCCTTACGAGCGGCCTGGAAGTGCTCGGAGGCCGCGCCGAAAAGGTTCTTCGCCATGTTCTGGAGCCCATCCTGGAGCAACATCTTACGAGTCTCCAGCTGCTCCCTGTCCTGTGGCGACATCTCGTACTCTTTGGGCAGGTCCTCCAGTAGGTCATCCTCCAGGATGAAGTTGACCTCCTCAGTTTCCACCAGGGCGCGGAGGCTGATGTACGGGCCTTTCGGAGCTGAATCCTTCTCCGGGGCGGGCGGCATGGACCTCCATGCTTATCTGCGACACCAACTCCGAGTAGTTCTCCAGCGCGTCCATCTCGTCAGACATCTCTTGGATAGTGTTCTCAAGGGCGATGACGTCTGCACGCCAGCGCTCCAACTTTGAAAGCTGTTTGTCGAGGCGCTTCTCCACGCTCTTGATCTTGGACTGAGCCTGCGAGGCCCGAGTATGAAGAGAGACGGGGGGCGGCACCTTTGCCTTGGCCTGCTGCACCAGCTTCTCACGAGCCGCGTCGTACTGCTTGGCAAGAGTACCCTGTCCCTGGCGCGTCGCGATCGCAGCCAGGGAGATGAGGTCCTCAATGCTGATCGCGTCTGTGTTGATGACTCCTGGCCGCGAAGCCTCTTCCAGTTCCGACTGGGCCAGGTGGAAGCGGGGCGCCAGGCTGCTGACCAGTTGGGGCAAGGGCCTCCTTGTCCCACGATTGCCAGGCGTCATCATCGTCGTCAGCACGGCGAGCAGCAGGAGAAACTTCGACACACGTCTTAGGGTTCCACTGCTCCTTGCAGTGCTTGCAGTACCACCAGCTCGAAAGATTTTTGGCGCAGCCGCAGGGGCACTTCCACTTGAAGACACGGTGGGGTGCTGGCCTGCTGGACCAGGGCGACATGGCTTCGTCGTGATCTGAGGGCAGGCGCCACCTGCGTACTGTAGGCTGAACTGTGCAGGCGCCACCTGCAAACGGTAGGCTGTGGGACAAACAAAGCCAAGAAAGGCTCGGTCGTGCAGCGCCGTTCTGAAGTTCGCACGACCAAGCTCAGAATCAATCTGAGCAAGAACGGCTCAGAGTAGGAGAAAGAGAAGGAGGGGGAGCAGGAGGAGGAGGAGGAGGAGGAGGAACAGAAGAAGACAAAGAGGAGGAGGAGGAGGAGGAGGAGGCGGAGGAGGAGCAGGCTCCAGCTGAGAGCGGTGACGTAGCACGCGCTTACCAGTAAGGCTCCCAGGAGCGAGCGGTGACGCAACAAGCTCTTATCACCAAGGCTCTCAAGAGCGAGCGGCAACGTAAGCATCTCTGGGCACGAGGACTCTGAACAGAGAGTGGTGACGCAACAAGCTCTTCCCAGCAAGGCTCCCAACAGAGCGGTGACGTAACAAGCGCTTACCAGCAAGGCACCCAAGAAGAACGAGCGGTGACGCAACAAGCTTGTACCACCAAGGTTCCCAATAGTGAAAGGTGCCATGAGCCATCTTGGGCAGGTTGCTGAAGCGCTCTTTCCGCTCCCGTGCCGGCCCACGTCTAGTGACCGTCGGCCCATCCCCGCCACCGTGCTTGGGTCATTCGGCGAGAGGCCCCTCAGAGGACGTCGTTGGGTTTCTTGGATTGCCTCTGGGGGGCCTCCGCGAGGTCTCTTTGGGGCCTCGTGGGGTCTCGAAATCTCCTGGGGGGCTCCTGGGAGGACTCTTGGAGCCGCTGACGGGTGGCCTCCGCGGCGCCTCTTGGGGGCGTGCGCTCCCCATGCTCGAACACTTCTGTGTTTAGACAGGGCAGGGGCTGTCCAACCGTCGCACACAGCTCTTCGCCCACGGCGCGCGGGGATCGGCGGATTTTGTCGCACCTCGCAGTCCCGAGCCAAGCACGAGCGCGGCTTCTGCTTCCATGTGTATAGGGCCGCCGCGGTCAGGCTCGTAATTTTTTATATCAAAAAATTAGCGCAGCCGCTGCCTGAAGGGCTGCCCCCCCCCCCCCCGTCAGGAGTCCTCTTCTGCCGGCTGGCCCGTCCCAGCCGCATGGTGGGTGGAGAGGCGGAGCCGAGCGGCCCAGAGCCCGTGGGCCGCATGTTGCTGGCCGGTGCTCCACACACCTTGTGCGGCTCGGCTCTGCGCTTCTGCCCGACGGGCCCCGAGTTGCCTGCGCAACAACCCGCTAGTACAATACAGTTGCGTGGCTGACGTTGAGCGCCCTCGACCTCCCTCCTCCGTCATAACCCATCCTCCTCTTCGTCCTCGTCCTTCCTCAAGGGCGACCTCGAGGGCGCGAAGTTATTCGCGCTTCGCGGTTCGGCTCCGGTTCTTCATCCTCCTCTTCTCCACCGGGGGGCGGCGCGAGGGCGCGAAGTTCTTCGCGCTTCGCGCCTCTCGCAGCGCGAAGCGCGAAGTTAGGCGCCCTTGTTTCTCCTCCCTCCCCTCTCCAAGATCCGTTCGCGACCTGCTTCGCCTCGTTTCCTCGTTTCCCCCTGCTTCGCCTCGCCTGCTTCGCCTCGTTTCCCCCTTGTTCCTCCTGCCTCCCCTCTCCAAGATCCGTTCGCGAACCTGCTTCGCCCTTGTTCCTCCGGGGCGGTCGCGCCGTTGCCCGCGGTCGCCCGTTCGAGTCCTGACCTCGTCGTGTGGCGGCCGCATCAGCAGGAGGCCTCGTCAGCAGGGTGCGGTCGGTTGGTCGCGCAGTCAGTCGCACCAGACTCAGGAGGGGAAAAACGCACAGACACAATGAATCGTCGATCCCCAGCAAGTATGGAAAAAGATGGGAAGTGGGGGGAAGACAGAAACCCAGAAAATATGGGAGCATATGGGGAATCCTGTTATGTGTGTCTATCTATGTGTGTGTCCCAGGACCCCTTCAATTCAGTCGTACCAGATTGACTCACGCGTGCAAAGCAGAAACATACCGACATCATTGGACATTGGATTGAGGCGTCATGGGGGAGGGGGGTGTCCGTCAGACGCAAGACACAGACCAAAGGACCAGAGCAGCGCCGCAGCAGGAACAACTGTTGAATATTTGCTGCCCGTTATTGCGGGAGCCAGCGCGGCTCTTGCGCTCCTCGTCGGCAGCCTCGTTCTCTCTCCCTCCTTATGGTTCTGCAGAGCTCTCCCGAAGAGGCTCGATTTAACGATACAGTGGAGGCCCATGCCAAGAGACACCCTGCTTGCCTCCAGGGTGCCCTGGGTTTCTTGGGTTTCGATGGTGTCGCCATGGAAAGCGTGACGTTCCCTTCCTCTTCAGGCTCGTATTGGGTCGACTTAGAGCTATTTGGGGCGATTTTGGAGCCATCTTGAGGCCTCAGAAGGCCATGGAAAGCGAAACGGCGAGAAAGCCAACATCATCGAACAACACATTTATGTATGTAGGATGATGACCTTGGAGGCCGGTTGCCACATTGGCCTGCTGCTCATGCGAGAGCACACCATACCAAAGGCAGCAGTTACATGCACAGATTTCACGGATGCGTTAAACGAGATCTTTCTTTGAGAAGGACGTGGACGCCCTCCACCCGTGAATTTGTTGCAACTTACGTAGTTTTTGGGCAACAGAATTCCACAACGCCCCGAGCAGGGGCGACATCCTCAAATGGGCCCGCCCGCCATCCGTGGAATTGGCGAGATGCCGAGACGGGCCGCGTGCGGCGCCGAGGTGACGGGCCAACTGTCAAGAAGGCGGGCCGCCCTCCACCCGTGTCACTGCTCGGACCCTTGCGACGAGAGCGCGAGGCGTCAGGGCGAGGCCCACATCTTGAACGCGGCTCGTGCATCTCAAGTTTCGGGGCAGGATTTTTGTGGGGGGGTCTCGGGCGAAATGCCAGGAGTGCCATACAGTCAAGACGCTGGGAGTAAGGAGCAGTTCGGGTTCGGAAGAGGTTCGCTAAGCCTTAGGTCCTTCTATGATTGTTCTTCTAGCGCTCCTCGTGCACCCATGCTCTGCTTGGGGACAAAAGGGTTGCCTGCCTTGGGGCCTTGTTCAGCTTTCCATGCTGGGCTGTGCCGAGACGCCTGGTGGTGCGACGAGCAGGAGGTACTGATGAGCACGCAGGATGGAGAGATGAGGAGGACGAGAAGGACGGCGACGACAAGAGAGCGGAGGAGAAGGTGGGGAGGAGGAGGACGAGGAGGAGGAGGAGCGGGAGTAGCCTACAGCGACAGGGAACAGCAGCAGGACGGAGACGGAAGGGGAAGTGGAGGAGGCACAGAGAGCGGACGTCCGAAACACGTGTTCATGTCCTTCTTTCGTTACTTAGTCCTCCCTCTCCCCCCCTGCTCGCGTGACCGGAACCGTCAGTATCCACTGTCATTTTCGGCGCATGCCCCCCTTTTGTATCTTAATGTTTCCATGTTCGTTCGTATGTTGTGTTAATCATGGTTCGGTGCACCAGCGTCGTGCTCGTGCTTGTCGTCATTGCAGTCGTCGCCATCGCCATTGCACTCCGCAGCCATTACGGCCTGGGGATCTCGTCTTCCGCCGCCGCCGTTGCCCGCATGCGCCTCGGCGTGCAAAGCGCTGCCGATGCGCTCGGATCGGCGCACGGCGGCGGCGCCGCCCGGGGCAACGGGCCAGGACACGCCGCAGTCGGCGACTCGAGCCATGAGATCCGGGCGCCGAATGTTTTGCACACCTGGCGTTTTCGCCCAGTCTCGGGCCTCGCGGCCCTCACAGATCTATGGGTATCGAGAGATGCCTCAGAAAGATCGGGTCTATGGGGTCCCGTCCTGATGTCTCAAGATTTGCCGGTTTTTCGGCGACGTCGGATCTCAGGATAAGAGAGTGGACCGTTCGTTGGAGTGACCTGTGGTGCGCGGCTTCCAGGGGTCGCAGCCCAGGCCAGCGGGCCGCTACTGTCGCATCGCATGCCACGATCGGTAAGCCGCGCACCGAAGGACGCCGTAGGCTGGGGTCACTCCTTTCGCGTGCCCAACGCAGGAGGAGTTGCAGGGGCTCTTCGAGGAGCTGCTGCTCGACGCCTGCTCCCGCCCCGCCTACGCGCCGGGGAGGCCTCAACGGGAGCTCGCGCGGCTGGTGCGCAGGGGGGGCGTGGCGTCGGGAGCTGCTCTCGGCGACGCTATCGCGCACCTGCTGCTGGCAGAGCAGGCCTTCGACGTGCTCGAGCTGTTCCAGCACCTGCCGCCTCTGGAGCCCGGGCTCCGGGAGCAGGTGCGCTGGGCGGTGGCCCGCAGTGTTGCCGCCGAGCTGGCCGGGGCGGACGTGGCGTCAGCGCCAGGTCCGCGGCTGCTGCGGTCGGTGTCGCAGCTGGTCGCGCGGGACTGGGTCGCCGTCGATGGCGTCGTGGCCATCGCCGAGGAGCTGGTGCGCTCGTGGCACGATGCACGGGCCGGCGGCTCCGCCGCCCTTCCCCCGTGCCTGGGGCTGCTGGAGGCGGCCGCGGCGGAGGCCCCCCGGCAGGACCTGGCGCGTGCCCTGGCGGCGGCGCCGGAGGTGTGCGGCGTCCTGCGCTCCAGGTGCGAGCAGGTCCGGGAGGTGTACCCCCTCCTCGCCTCGGCGGCCGCCTCCGCGCTGCTGGCGGGCCCCAGCGACCGGGCCAGCGCCGACGACGCCAGCAGCGAGGGGGGGGGCGGCCGTGCCCCACGCGCGGGTCCACCCCCGGGCGCCCTGCAGCCCTGCGCTGCGGGGCCCTCCGTCTTCGAGGCCGTGGAGCACCTGAGCGGGCCCGGCGAGTGGGGCTCGGGGGCGGCGTACTGTCTCTGCGGGACCTACCTGCAGCCCGGGCCCCTGCCGGCAGCGTGCCACTCGGGCCTGCTCGTGGGAGGCTCGGGGGGCATTGTGGAGGAGTGGGACCTCGACAGCGGCGTCCGCTTGGATCGCCTCTGCGTGGACGGCGCCTCCGAGGAGTCCTGCGACGCCGACGTCGTGGCCCTGGCGTGCCCCTCCGTCTGCTCGCGGCTCTGCCGGCCAGACGAGCTGCTGGTGGCCGCCGTGAACGTCCCTGGCGATGCGGGGCTGGCCGTGCTACGACGGGACCCAGACTCCCTTGCCTGGCAGGTGGAGTGCCCCTGGCCCGTGGACGCGCACCACGCCTGCTGGCGCCCGCTGGACAAGGTCTCGCGAGGAGAGTTCTTGCACGGCTCCTACTCGCTGTTCGCCCTGGGGCAGGCGTCCTCGCTGGGCTCGTTCGAGGTGTGCCTCTACGACACGGCCGCGTCGCCGGCACGGCCTCTGGCGGTCTTCGGCAGCGCGTAGAAAGGAGCCCCCCCCGCCTACGCAGAAGCCATGATGCCTCCCGAGGCCAGTTTAGGGGGCCTCGTGCGAAGGGGCCGATGCTGTCCAAGAAGCCGCTCTGGCCTTTCAGAGGGCCACCCCCCATCGCCCTGCCCCCGCTCCAGAGAAGGCCGCTGCAACTGCACCGCCACCGCCCCTTGCCAGGGCCATCCTGGCCCCCTGGGATGTGTATGGACTTAAGTCGGGCCTGTCCCTCTACAGCAGGAACATTCAAAAACAGCCCACTAACAGTCTGGGCAGATTTTATGAGTGTTTTCAATTTTTCTTCCAGAATCCGCCTGTAGGGGGACATGCCCGACCTAAGTATAGACCCTCCTGGTAGAGGCCAGGAGCTGGCACTTGCCGTCTTCCGTGGGCCAAGGGTGGCCACGGCGCGGTGTTCGCTGCGTGCAGCCAGAGCTCTCTTCGGGATGCGGTCCCACGTGGGACTCTTGAGAGGGGGCTCGATTTTCCTTGCGTCGTTCCGTAGGTCTGGCGGTCCTCGCAGTTCTGGGCGCAACAGCTGAGGACCCGGAGGGGTATCGTTCCGTCTCCAGGGTTCCTTTTGTAGCAGCCGAGGCCCCAAAGGGGGCGTCGTTTCGACTGGGCCCAGCACCCGAGGCCCCAAAGGCGCAGAGGGCCTTCGCTCCTTGCGGTGGAAGCCTTCATGGCAGAACGCACGATTTGTACAGTGGAGACCCATGCCCAGAAGCACCCTGCTTGCCTCCAGGGTGCCCTGGGTTTCTTGGGGTTCCGATGGTTTTGCCATGGCAAGCGTGACGTCCCCACACCAAAACCAACTGACGCCCTGGGGTCTTGGGGTTGGGGTTTCATGTGGGAGGCTTCTTGTGGACTGGCCTCCACTGCAATGTGTAACCCGCCGCCCTTCGGTGCACCCCTCCCGCGCGCCGCCGAGGTCTGCTCCGCGCGCGCGGGCTTCGTCGCAGACGTGTGCACGACCTCCGAGCACACCTTTGCCTCCGCCTCCCTCGACGGGGCGCTCTGCCTGTGGGACGTGCGGGTCGGGCTGGAGCCCGGGGCGGCCCGAACCGCGGTGACCGGCTGGAGTCCCCGATGCCAAAGATTGGGCCACTGCACCGTGGATGTGCGAGCTATGCGGTGTGAGCAGTGTGGTGCTGCGCACGAGGGGTACACCCCAGACGCGGCAACGGAGCGGCAACGAGGAGGCAACGCGCGGCAGCGTAGCGACACCTCGCTGGCTCAACCCAGCAGCACACGAGGCGGGAAGGGGCGGCAGCACGGCGGCACCTCGCCAGACCCACCCAGCGCACGAGGGGGAAACGAGGCAGCAGCGGGCCAGCAACGGGCGGCATCGTGGCGACACCTTGCTGGACCCAAACTGCGCTTCACGCACGACGCGGCAACCAGGGGGCAACGCGCGGTCACGTGGCGAAAACTCGCTGGACACCCAGCGCACGAGGCGGCAACAGGCAGCAGCGTGGCGAAGCCTCGCTAGACCCAGCGCACGAGGCGGCAACAATGCAGCAATGGGCAGCAATGTGGCGGCATTTTGCCAGATCCACCCAGCGCGCGACAGTTGGCGGTCACGTGGCCAACCTCGCGGGACACCCGCCGCACCAGGCAGCAACGAGGAGGCAACGGGCGGCAGCGTGGAGAAACATCGCCAGACCCACCCAGCGCACGAGGCGGCAACGAGGAGGCAACTGGCGGCAATGTGGTGAAGCCTCGCGGGACCCACCCAGCGCACGAGGCGGCAAGGAGGAGGCAACGCGCGGCATCGTGACGAAACATCGCTCAATGGGGCGGCAACGGGAGGCAACGTAGCTACACCTCGCCAAACCCATTCAGCGCACGTGGCGGCAACGATGCGGAAACTGGGCGGCAGCGGGCTGCAACGAGGCGGAATCTGCCAGACCCACCCAGCGCACGAGGTGGCGCGTCAACGAGGCGGCAATGGGCAGCAACGTGGCAAAACCTCGTCGGGACGAGACGGCGACGAGGCGGCAACGGGGCGGCAGCGTAGCGAAATCTCGCCGGACCCACCCAGCGCACGAGGCGGCAACGCTCGGGATGTTGAGGGCCGCGGCAACGGGCGGCAGCGTGGCGAGACCTCGCAGAAGCCACTCAGCGCAACCGGCTGAAATAAGGCTGCACCGGGCAGCAATGTGGCGAAATTTCGCCAGATCCACCCAGCGCAGGAGGCGGCAACAGGGCGGCAACGTGACGAAACCTCGCCAGGCCCACCCAGCGCACGAGGTGGCAACGAGACGCTAACGGGCGGCAGCGTGGCGAAACATCGCCGGACCCACCCAGCGCACGAGGCGGCAACGGGGCGGCAACGGGCGGCATCGTGGCGAAACCGCATCGGACTCACCCAGCGCCGCACCTTGGCAGCAACGGGGCGGTACCGAGGCGGCAACGGGCGGCAACTTGGCGGAACCTCGCTGGGCCCACACAGTTCACGAGGTGGCAGCGAGGCGGCAGCGAGGTGGCAACGGGAGGTAACGTGACGAACCTTCGTCGAGCCTACCCATCGCATGAGGCCGCCACGATGCGTGCGGCAACGGGCGGGGACGAGGAGGACATTTTTGCAGGTAGATTAAGTATGGACAAGTTCAGGTAGACCAGTAAGGACCCCCAATGCAAGCACTGCGTAGGGAACAAGCAAGACGAAAGGTAATTGTAGTTGTTGGCCTCAGGGGACAACTTCCAGGCTCCAGGGTTCAGGGCAATCAAACCAATGTTCCGCTACACTGAAAGAGCCTGGGGAGGGTTTCGGGAATTCGGGAACTCCGAGACACCGTTGGATTTTCACGACGTCGGATGCTTGGAGACTCGACCATTTGTTTCATCTTGCACCCACCTCTCCCTTACCTGCTACATCCTCCATCCTCTCTCCCACCGACTAATTCCCCCTCGTCCTTTTACCCCTCTTGCTCGTCACGTCTTCCTCCGTTTCTTCCTGATCCATCTTCTCCCTACTCCTGCCCCCCCTCCTCTCCTGATCCTCCACCCTTCCAGGACCCAGGAGGGAGGAGACGGAGGGGGATGGGGAGAAGGTGGAGATCCTCCCCCAGGGGATGTCCTCCTCGTTCTCGCAGCAATCGTTGTCCTCGTACTCTGCTGCCTTCCCCGCCTCCCTCGTCCTACTCCCTTCGTCCAGGAGGAGGAGGAGGAGGAGGCGGAGGAGGAGGAGGAGGAGGGAGAGGATGATCCATGGGAGGAGCCGAAGTGGGAGAGGACGGAGAATGGCCGCCCTGAGGACGCAGGCCCTGGAGCTCTCAACCCCACCCCCCGGGCCACCCTCTCGTCTTGTTTGTGTGTTCAGAGAGGCGTGGACTCCGAGGGCGAGGCCCAGAAGCACTGGCCACCCTGCTCGTACGAGACGCCAGAGGCCCCCCCCGTATGCTTCTGGAGGCCCCCTGTGGGCCCAACAAGGGTCAAGAGCGTGCACGGCTTCGATGCTCGATCCTCCTCTGCGATCGTCTCTCAAGGCATCGCCCCGTCGTGGGCTTGGAGCCTCGTCGATCCTCATCAATCCTGTGCCTCTGTCATCCTCCTCTTTCTTTTGTCGTAGTATGTTCCTTCTGCTTCCCCACGACGCTCCCCTCTCCTCACCAACAATTCCCCTCGTCACCCTCCGCGATCCTCCGCCTTCTGCTCCACCTGCGTTTCCCCCCGCTTCCCCCTCGCCCTGCTCCTCCGAGGGCCTCTGGGGCCACCTTGAGGGCCTCCAGGTCCGTGTCCAGGGCCCATCGGGCAAGCCTCCTCGTGACTTCCTGACCATCCTCCTCGCCCTCCCGCGGATCTCGCCGCTCCTCGCCCTATGATGTTCCAACCTGCTTTATAGCCCTGACCGCCAGACAGAAGCTCGAGCACCGAGAAAGGGCCGAGACCGGAGGGCTCTCGCGCGGGGGGCCCCCCAGGAGGCGATGCTCTCGCCCCGCACCGCCCCGATGTTGTCTCTTGGGGGGGGGGCGCTCGAGCTTTGTGCCTGGGGCCCTGCTCCCCTCGAGCACGAGGGGAGCCGCGCGAGCCTCGCCGCAGCTCGGGCCTCCCGCGCCCCCTCGGCGCTCCTCCCGCGGCCCGCTGCGGCGGCCGCGCCGCCCAGCGCGCCGCGGCGGGGCTCCGCCGCGAGGGGCCGCCGCCCCCCGAGGGGGCCGCCGCGGGGCCCGCCGAGGCGGGCCGCCGCCCGGGCAGGCCCGCCCGCTGGGCTCAGGTCGGGCCGGTCCCTCCTCGGGGGGAAGGTTTCCAGGAACGGCTTTTGTTCCTCCTCGATCCTCCTCCTCCTCCTCCTCCTCCTCCTCCTCCTCCTCCTCGATCCTCCTCGATCCTCCTCGCTCCTCCTCGCTCCCCCTCCTCCGATCCTCCTCCTCGATCCCTCCTCGATCCTCCTCGATCCTCCTCGATTCTCCTCCTCCTCCTCCTCCTCCTCCTCCTCCTCTCTCCTCCTCCTCCTCCTCCTCCTCCTCCTCCTCCTGGGTCCTCGCTCCTCCTCGCTCCCCTCCTCCTGAGTCCTCCTGAGTCCTCCTCCTCCTCCTCCTCCTCCTCCTCCTGGGTCCTGGCTCCTCCTCAGTCTGGGGGCGGTTCTTCCAGCATGTTTGCACATGGTTGAGCATCGTGTTGGCCACGTTGTAGTCTTCGTCTCCTGTCCGCCTGGAGGAAGACATGCCCGACCCAACGTCAGGACCCCGCCGCGTCGGCGGGCTTCGGCGGCGCTGGCTTGCCGCGGGCGGGCCTCTCGAGCGTCGCCGCGCTCGGCGACTCCATGCTGATGTGCGGCAGCCTCGCCGGGGAGCGTCGACCACGACGACGGCAGCGACGACGACGGCAGCGACGACGACGACGACGATGACGACGACGACGGCGACGGCCACGGCGACGGCGACAGCGGTCACGGCGACAGCGACGGCGGCGGCGATGGCGACGGTCACGACGCCGACGACGACGCTGTCGGCGACGGCAGCAACAACGGCGGCCACGCCGTCGACGACGATGGCGGTGGCGGAAACGGTGGGAGACGTCTGCTTTCCGCAGATCGACGCTCGAGGGTTGGGGCTCGAGCAAGTGAGTTGCGGGGCGCAAAACCCCTGGAGAGGTCCGGGGGCCACTGCTTGCGAGTGGCGCCCAGCCTCGCAGATGCTTTTGCTGGTGCGCAGTCAGCTGTGGTCAGCCCCGACGGGGCTCATTTCGATCCGATTCGATTCGATTCGATTCGATTCGAGTTCGATGGCTTCCGACTCCGATTCGGTTCGACTTCGGATTCCGATGTGGGCTCCGATTTCTCAGTGGAGGCCCACCAACCTGCCGATTTCTGCCGAATCGACTTGGGGCTCTCCTGGGCTGTCTTGGGGCAGTTTGGGGGCCCCTTGGGAGCCTCTTGGGGCCTCCTGGGGCTTCTTCGGGGCCTCTTGGGGGCCTCTTGGGGCGCCGTCTGGGCACTCTCCTGGAGCCGTCTCGGGGGCCTCTTGGGCCTTCTTGTAGGCGTGTTGGGCCGTCTTGGGGCCCTCTTCGGCCGTTTGGGGACCCTCTTGGGGGCCTCTTGGGCCGTCTCGGGGCGATCTTGGCGCGTCGGGAAGCGGAAGAGGCAAGAACGCCAAAATCTTCTTAAAAAGTATGGGAAATCCATGTATTGAACCTCTTTGTCTCTCGTGGGAAAGCTCCTGGAGGCCTCTTAGGGGCGCTTTGCAGGCCTCTTGGGCTGTCTGGAGGCCGTCAAGGCGTCTTGGACATATCGTTCAGCGATTCGGGGTTCTCTTGGACCGTCTTTGGGGCCTCTTGGGGCACTCTTGGCCCGTCTTGGGGCGTTTTTGGGCTCCGGGACTCCCAGGGGGGGCGTCGTATCTGACCCCCCCCCCACGGGACCCCCCCGACACCCTCCCCCTCCCCGGCGGGGGAGGGATCGAAGGGAAGGGGCTTCCCTTCGACTCAATTACGACTGTGCTCAACTTCGCTTTGGCTGGCGCGCTGAGGAGGTCCCTGATCTGCGCGCGAGGAATAGTGGAGGAGGGAGACGGGACCATGCTCGAAGGCGACCTGTTTGGGGGCATCCCTGAAGAGGGTGCCTCCAGGAAGCAGCATCGAGGATGCGATGGCATCCTTCGCATGGCGGAGGAAGTGGAGAAGAGGAGGGAAGATAAGAAGGAAAAGGAGGAGGAAGAGGATGGGGAGCAGGAGGAGCAGGAGGAGCAGAAAGAAGAGGAGGAGGCCCGAGCGGCCGCCGTCATGGCGCTCAGCCTCCGCGACCTCCCTGGGAAAAGGAGGGGGGCGTCATAACGCCGCCTGGACTTGGAAGAGAGAAACACGATTCCGCCCGAAGCGGCAGCTGCTATGACGCACTCTGAGCCTAGGCGACCCTTGTGGAAGAAGGAGGGGGCAAGTCGGCGTCATAACGCCGCTCAGATTTGGACGAAGAGGCCCCAAGGGCGCACGAAGGCCCAAGGGGCGCCTTACCACCAACCGATGTTGGCGAAACTGGCATAACAGCGGCCAATCTCGGCGACATCGGAAACCAGGTCTTCCTAACCCCGAGCGTTGCTATGGCGCGATGCCCCAGTCCTGCCTGGAAGACGCACGAACGCCCAGGGGGGGCAGAGAACCTCCTACCGCTTGCCGCTTGCGGCTTACCAATGGAAATATATATATATATATATATTCACACATATATATATATATATATATATATGTGTTGTCGTACCGCTCACCGCAAGCCGGAAATATAAAAGCCTGATCGGACAAGAACGGGAAGCGCCGCTGTAGTGTAATGGGCGTATCGGCCGAAGAAGAAAAGGAAGGCGAGGACAACGAGGAGTCGATGACGAGGACGACGTGGCGAACGTGAGGATAGCGAGGAGGAGCATGAGGACAACGAGGAGGAAGAGAAGCACAAGGACGAGGACGAAGAGAACGAGGGCGAGTACGAGGAGGAATGCGGAGGGCGATAATGACGACGACGACGACGTCGACGCCAGAGGACAGTACGAGGCAATTGGAGGAAGACGTTGCTCCTGGCGCCGCGCGGGGTTCTCTTGGGGCCTGTTGGGGGCTTCTTGGGGGCCCCTTGGGTCCTCTTATGGGCTTCTGGGGTCTTCTTGGGCTGTCTGGGCGCGTCGTGGGGTTCTGTGGGAGCTTTCTTAGGCCGTCTCGGCGCTGGGGGCCTCCTGGGGCGCTCCCGGGAGTCTCTTGGGGCCTTCTTGGCCCTTCTCGGGCCGTCTTGGGGTTCTGGTGAGCTGTCTGGGTGGCTCCTAGAGCGCTCTTGGGGGTCTCTTGGGGTCTTCTTGGGGCGCTCTTGGGCGCTCCTGGGGCTCTCCGGGGCGTCTTTTGGGCCTCCCTTGGGCCGTTGGAAAGCTCTCCAAGAGCGATTCGAACACAACGTCGATGCGGAGTCCCCTCTTGGGTCAATTTTTGGAGGATGTCTCGAGCGAAACGGCCATGTTTCAAACATCCGCCAGCGCAGTTTCAAAGTGCAGCGCGTACCCGACTATTAGTTTTTACCACCAACAAACGGTCCACGCCAGGGGCGCTGTCCGTCATCCGCCGACCCTGTCGGCGTGTGTGAGGGGCTTGTCCGGAGCTCTCTCTCCTCCCCCATCCTGCCTCCTCCGTGCTCCACTCAGAAGCTAGGCGAGGGCTGCTAAAACCGTGGCTGCTAAAACGGCCCTCACGGAAGGGAAAAACAATTTCCCGGAATGAGGCGCGGCACGCGAAACAGTCAACGGGTTTCTTCCCGGAAGGACGAAGACAACTTCCCGGAGGTCGATTTTAGCAGCCACGGATTTAGCAGCCCTCGCGGGGGTCCGATCCGCGCGCGCGCTCTGGCCGAGGCATCGCCACGATCTGCTCCAGCGTGGCTCCCCCGCTGGTCAGCCCTTGCGATTTACCAGGGAAAATGTGCTCGCGCCTCGGCGCCGGAAGTACCTCCGACGGGCCAGGGGCGCCCCGACCTCCCCCCAGAGCACCAGTTCGACAGCAGCAGAGGGCAGCAATGCATCCAGTGATTCGTTGGGCTCTGACCCCTCCTCGCTCCCCTCTCCTCCCTCTCGGGGCCCAGAGTTCTGAGGACGTCTCGGGAGAAGCGGGCCAGGTCACCCGTGGCGCGGCATCTCGGAGCCCAGCGCTGCGAGGATGTCTCAAGCGAGACGCGCCAGACCACCTCGCGCACATCTCCAAGGAGCCCGGATTTGCGTGGATGTCTCAGGCGAGACGGGCTGGACCACCTCGCGCGCAGCATCTCGGAGCCCCGAATTGCAAGCATGTCTCAGGCGAGACGGACTTGACCACCTCGCGTTCGACAATTGGGAGCTCAGAGTTGCGAGGATGTCTCAGGTGGCGCGCACACCTCTCCCAGAGCACAATTCGACAACAGAAGTGTATCAGACGATTCGTTTGGGTCTCACCCCCCTCTCTCCTTTTCTCTCCCCTCCCAGAGCCCAGCGTTTCGAGGATGTCTCAGGCGAAACGCACCGGACCACCTCGCGCGCGGCGATTGGGAGCCCCGAATTGCGAGGGCATTTCAAGCGAAGCGGGCCAGAGCACCTCGCACACATTTTCTTAGAGCTCGGATTTGCGTGGATGTCTCAGGCGAAACGAGCTGGACCATCTCTCGCGCAACGTCTGGGAGTTGTGGTGTGCGAGGATGTCTCAAGCGTAACGCGCCAGACCACCTCGCGCGCGGCAGCGCGGAGCGCAGGGTTGTGAGGATGCCCCAAGCAAAAACACGCTGGACAACCTCTCGCGCGGCATCTCGGTGCGCAGAGTTGTGAGGATGTTTCAAATGAAGCGCGCCAGACCACCTCCCGCGCGGCGTCTCGGAGCTCAGAATTGGGAAGATGTCTCAGGCGAAACGCGCCGAACCACCTCCCGCGTGGCAGCTCGGAGCGCAGAGTTGTTAGGATGTTTCAGGCAAAACGCGCCAGACCTCCTCGCGCGCGGCGTCTCGGAGTTCAGAATTGGGAGGATGTCTCAGGCGAAACTCGACGGACCACCTCTCACGCGGCATCTTGGAGCGCAGAGTTGCGAGGATGTCTCAGGCGAAACGCACCGGACCACCTCGCGCGCGGCGATTGGAAGCTCAGAGTTGGGAGGGTGTCTCAGGCGAAACGCCCAATTTTGGCCAACGCAGAGACGAGAGTTGCGAGGATGTCTCCGGCTAAACGGCCCAAGCATCCAAGTTCTTTGGACGATGTCTTTGTTGGTCCGTTCCTCGGCCAGAAGTAGTTTCACCACAACAGCACCCCGCTCAGCAAGCTGTTTGGGGAAATATAGGAACGTAAGAGGATGAGGATCACAAAATACGCACAAGATACAATATTCATCGCTCGAGAGCGTTGCAGGACCATCTCAGAGCGATCCCGAGCGTTGCTCATCGAGCCGGCCCGCAGCCCATTTTGGCTCAAGCAGTTTTGACCCGAACGTTTGCACCCTCGATCGCGGCGCCGACACCGTGACCATGGCCTCCGCCTGCAAGCCGGTCGTTGTCCACCTGTGCGGTTCTCGCGCCAGCGAGTACTACGAGGGCGTCTCCGCCTACTACGCGAGCCAGTGCTATGAGCAAGTGGTCACACATGGTACGTTCGACAATCGTATCGCGATGGTGCACATGGACGGCACGTGGAGCTTCCCCAACGACTTCTCCGACGAAGCGAAGGCCGCAGCCCGTCACGTGGAGCTGCCGGAGGCGGTGCAGATCCTCAAGGATCTGTCTCCAGCCGCCGTGGTTCCTCACATGTTCTGCCTCCCAGGCTCTGGGAGGGGCTCAAAGAATGCGCCGGGCCAGCTGGTCGGCCAAGGGTATCAGGCGCGGTCGCCCCTGCTTCAACCTGCGGGGCGCTGGGGCGCCTACACTCCGGATGCCTCCGCCGATCTCCCTGGCCCTTGTCCAGCCAAACGACGTGGCGTATGGCAGGTTCGTGTCGTGTCGATGCGGCGGCGACCCCGCCGCGGGCGATGAAAAGTTGAACGCCGCCAGTGGCCGAGAATCGGGCAACATGGAACGATTTGGCGATCGGACAGCAGCCGATCGTTCAAGGTTGAACGATCTACGTGATTTCAAAAATCAATGCCGACGTCGACACGACACGGCACGGCGCGACACGACACGACACGAACGACGACGACGACGAAAACGACGACCACGATGACGACGACGACGACGACGACGACGACGACGACGACGACGACGACGACGACGACGACGACGACGGCGGCAGCGGCCAGCGGCGGCGGCGTTGGCGACGGCGACGACGACGACGATGGCGACGACGACGAACCTACCATATGCACCGAGCCCCTCCGAGGCATGACCACCTACCGTGCCCTCTTCGACGCCATCGGCACCCCTCTGGTGGGCAACGACGCGGGGGTCATGGCCCTGTCCACCAACAAGGCGCAGTCCCGCGCGGTCGTCGCCGCCGGTGGCGTGCGGGTGCCAGAGGTCGGCGGTTCAAAGATGGAGTCTTGAGGGATGGGGACCTAAGGATAGAAAGGGATGCATTTGCGCCGTTTGAGGCACCTCGTCCCTAGGACAGCATCCTTCAGGACCCCATCTAGCCACCCGAGAGGGCGAGCTGCTGCGCAAGGGCGACATGCCGAAGATGGAGCCGCCTTTCGTGCTGAAGCCGTGCAACGAGGACAACTCCATGGGCATCTCGGAGGGGCGCCAGTCGAGACAGCGGCGGCGCACCCCGGCGTTTTTTGCGGCCTCTTCGGGCCTCCCTAGGTCGACTAGACGTAGGAGTGACCTTTCGCAGGAGTGACCTTTGGTGCGGGCATAATGGGGTCCCCCGATCGCCGAACGCGAGGCGGCAGTAGCGCCTTGCGCGCCTGTGTTTGGTCCCCCCGCGGCCCCCCAATGAACCGCGCACCAAAGGTCACTCTTACCCAGGGTCACTCCTGCGTGTGGCCGATTAGGGCTCCTCGTCGCACAGGCCAGATCCGCTTCGCAGAGCAGGTTCGAAGAGGCCCTGCGAGGGGTCCGGTGGGTCGGGTGGGCGAGCCGCCGTGGTCTCACTGTGGCCTCCTCCGAGCGTCACGCTGTTCACGGGCAAGGACGGCCAGTCCCTGGACGAGGCGCTCGCCACCGCCTTCAGCTTCGACTCGGAGGTCCTGTGCGAGAAGTACGTCGAGCTCGGCCGCGAGGTGAGATGCGCCGTCCTGGAGCAGGAGGACGGCTCCCTGGATCTGCTCCCGTGCCTGGAGTACTTCATGTCGGAGGAGCACCCCATCCGGGCATCCCAGGACTCGGAATAGCAAGGCATGCCCAAGCCGACATCGACGTGCCCCCCTCGCGCTCGCCCTCTCTGCGCCTCCCGGAGGGCCCTCGTTGCCACGGCTGGGGCTCGCCTCGGAGCCCTGGTCGGAGCGCCCTTCGGGAGAGGTCTTGGCAGCGGCGTCATCTCGAGGGGCGCCACTTACACCGACACCGGTCCTGGCCAGGTCCGCTCTTGGCCCTGGATCGATGTAGGTATGTAGGCGAGGCCCCCCTGCTACCCTCGTCAGAGCGAACCTCAGGAGTGCGGCACATGGGCAGCATGCACACTCCCCAGCGTCGGTCATCGTGGTACTCCGACTCGCGCCGACCCAGACCTTTCGGGTCTGCGCCGACATTGAAGGGGGCGACATTGCAGGGGTGATTGAAGGCGACATGGAAGGGGCGCGTGAACAGCTGTTGGTGATACTTTTGCCGAGGGCTGCAGCATCGATATTCCTCAAGCAGTGCTTGCACTTCGCGTCTCTCACTCATATCTCCCTCGGTTGCCACCTCGTGCGCTGGGTGGGTCCGGCGAGGATCTGCCAAGCTGCCGCCCGCGGCCGCCTCGTAGCCGCCGCGTGCGCTGGGCGGGTCTGGCCAAGGTCCGCCGCGTTGTCGCCGGTGTCCGCCTCGCGGCCGCCTCGAGCACCGCCTGAAGAGGAGAAGCCGGCACAAGCCGAACCTTTCGAAGGTCGCGCGGATTTCCTGGATCGGTGCGGGGGCCCCCCTGGCGCCGCCACCAGCGCCGCCCCTGGCCCGCTCAGCGCGCAAGGGAGGCGGTGCCTTGCCGGTCCGGGAAGCCCGCGCGGAGCCCCGAAGGTTGTGCTCCTGCAGGTGCGCCTTGCTCACCACTTCGTGTTTGGGGTCCACGCTGGCCCACACGTTCTGTTCCCCCGAGGACAAGCTGGTCACGGACAGCCGGGGCGTGCCCACGACTGTGACCACGGGCGGGCGCAAGTGCCCCGCGGACATCGACGACGTGCTGCGGGAGAAGCTGCGGCACCTGGCCGTGAACAGCCACAAGCCGGGGAAGAAACAACCTGCGCACACCTGGCCCTGGTCGATGATGGTAATTCGAGGAGGGGGTTCATACAGAACCACCGCCTGGAGGATCGATGTTCGCGAACCTCCAAAGGCGGTGGAAATGGAAATGTGTTGGCCCCGGGCCCCTACGGATCCGCCCCTATGGATGTGGATATGGATATGGATATGGTTTGCCAAACGGCCCCGGGCGTCTACGAATCCGCCCTGCCCCGTTCGATTCATTGCGGAGGTGCGTTTACGAAACGGCTTCGCATGTCGGGGTCGTGAGGGGGGTGATGACTAGGGGGGGGTGGATATCATGGCGTGGGCCATGATATTTCCCCAGATCTCATGGCGCCGCTTCTTGTTTCATTACGTCCCTGGCCCCCCCGCTGGGCCGCGCACATGCCGCCGGTCATGATTTGCACCCCCCCTCCTGGGCACCCCCCTCTTGGCCGCTCCCGAGCATGTCGGGGTCGTGAGGGTGGGTTCTCTCCCCTCTCTGCGATGGCAGGCCTACACGTCGGGAGGCCCGAGCGGCTCTCCCGGGTCGGCGCCTGGACCCCCTCTGGGCGGCGCGCCTGGCGCCGCTCGGGCTCGCTCCGCGCGCCAGGGAGAGGGGACCATCGCTGATGCTCAGGTGGGTTCGGTCGGGCCGGGGTCTGAGATCGAGGTCGGTCGGTTCGGGGAGGGCACCTCAATGTTTTTCGTGTTTTTTGATGTTATTGTGCATCCTGGGGGAGGGTAAGCCTCAGGGATCGGGGTGTTTTGGCCGGCGGAGGATATCGTCATGTTCTTCCAGGATGTCCTGAGGTCCTAGGTCTGGCCCTCGGGAAGGGGAATGGAAGTTCACAAGGGGATGGCAAGGAAACCGCGTGTGGCGGCCCCCCGCCGCAGCCTCACGGCAGCCGACCCCAGCGCAGCTGCTCACGCCCCAGCGAGGGCTGCTCCCCGTCAGAGCCCTGGGACATGTCCGCCGCCGCAATCGCCAGCGGGCGATGACGCCCCATGACCAGGACTAAGTCGCTCCAGAGCGTCCCGGAACGCTCACAGAGCGCTCCGTGGCGCACTGGAGCGGCCGCGCCGCCCGATGGGTCCTGGAGAAGCGCCCGATCTCAGAGATCTCCAGTCTTCAGGAATGGGAAGCACACACACAGAGACACAAATAATCGTCGATCCCCCCGAACATGTGGAAAAGATGGAAAGTGGAGGAGAAGACGGACGTCCAGAAAAGATATACCAAGTACGGGGGACCTTGGGATCTGTGTTTAGCTATGTGTGTGTGTGTGTGTCTGTGTGTCAGTGTGTATGTGTGCGTGTGTATGTGTGTGTCTGTGTGCCCGTGTGCCTGTGTGCCCGTGTGCCCGTGTGCCCGTGTGCCCGTGTGCCCGTGTGCCTGTGTGCCCGTGTGCCCGTGTGCCCGTGTGCCCGTGTGCGCGTGTGCCCGTGTGCGCGTGTGCTTGTGCCCCTGTGCCCGTGTGCCCGTGTGCCCGTGTGCCCGTGTGCGCGTGTGCGCGTGTGCGCGTGTGCGCGTGTGCGCGTGTGCGTGTGCGCGTGTGCGCGTGCGCGTGTGCGCGTGTGCGTGTGCGCGCGTGTGCGTGCGCGTGTGCGTGCGCGTGCGCGTGCGCCTGTGCGCGTGTGCGCGTGTGCGCGTGTGCGTGTGCGTGTGTGTGCGCGTGCGCGTGCGCGTGCGCGTGCGCGTGCGCGTGCGCGTGCGCGTGCGCGTGCGCGTGCGCGTGCGCGTGCGCGTGCGCGTGCGCGTGCGCGTGCGCGTGCGCGTGCGCGTGCGCGTGCGCGTGCGCGTGCGCGTGCGCGTGTGCGTGTGCGTGTGCGTGTGCGTGTGCGTGTGCGTGTGCGTGTGCGTGTGCGTGTGCGTCTGTGTGTGTGTCTGTGTCTGTGTGTCTGTGTCTGTGTCTGTGTGTCTGTCTGTGTCTGTGTGTCTGTGTCTGTGTCTGTGTCTGTGTCTGTGTCTGTGTGTGTCTGTGTGTGTGTCTGTGTCTGTGTCTGTGTCTGTGTCTGTGTCTGTGTGTGCGCGCGTGCGTGCGTGCGTGCGTGTGTGTTCTTGTGTGTGTGTCCCTGGGCCCCTTTGAGTCTGTCCTCTGGTTCGAGTTTGTCCCGGTTCTGCCTTCGTCTTAGGTCCAGCGCCGATCCGAGAGGTCCGCGCGGACCACCGACTCAGGCCGTGTTCGTTTTTGCTTGTCCTTTTGGCAGGGCGCTGGGTTGCAGGGACTACAGCCTCTACGACGTGCGCATCGACCCGCAGGGCGAGCCCTACTTCCTGGAGGCGTGCCTGGGCTGGTCGTCGCTTCCCCCCGGCCTCTTCCTCCTCCTCTCCCTCGTTCTCCCGTCGTCCTGCGTGGGGTGCGCGCGAGGTCAGAAGGAGGGCGTTGACTGCTGGCCCCAACTCTTTGGCCCCCTGGGGGGGGGGACAAACGAAGACTTCCCGGAGGCGTGCCTGTACTGCTCCTTCGCCCCGAAGAGCGTCATCGTGGGCATGTGCGCCGGCAGAGGGCAGGAGCTAAGGGGGCGCAGGGCACCGACGCCGCCGCCTCGCCCCTCGTTCTGTGCGCCGCGTGTTGGGGCCTCCCGGGAGGCCCTCGCCGCCGCGGCCTCACTCTCGGAGGACGGGGAAACGTGGCGAGACCGCCGTCCTTGCCTCGCTTTCGCCCGTCTGGGCCTCCTGAGAGGCCCTCGTCGCCCGCGCAGGAGTGGCCTTTCGCCAGAGTGACCTCTGGTGCGGACCCAATGGAGACCCCCGATCGCCAAACGCGACGCAACAGCAGCGGCCCGCGCGCCCAGCGGTGCCCCGAGAAGTCGCCCCCGGAGGCCGCGAACCGAATGCCACTCTTGCCTGGGGTCACCCTTGCGTGCAGCCGATGGGCTCGCCTCGGTCTCCTGGCCAGAGCGGCACCCCAAGAGAGGTGTCCGAGGAGCAGCGGTATATCCGCGCCTCTTGGGCAGTGTCCCCAGGAGCAGCGGGAGGTGTTCGAGACGCTCGTGAACCGCGCCATCGCGAGGGGTAAGCGCTCCGCGAGCGGCAGCCAGCTGCTCGGCATGAAGGCCTCTCGCTGAGGACACTACACGCATCCCGCGGGCCCCACGGCGTGCACGTTTTCGGTCGATTGGGAATGCCTTGCGGCCAGTGCCGCCAACCCTGAAGGGGGACGACGACCACGGCGGCGGCGTCGGCGGCGACGACGACGCTGACGTGGGGCAGAGTGCCCAGGGATGATTCGTGGGGCCGCTTTGGAGCGCGCTCGTGGGCCTCTGTGGGGCAGTTTGGGCATCTTGGGGGCATCTTGGGGGCCTTTGGGCAGCCTCTTGGGCAGGGGCCCCTTCGGGCTTCCAGAGGGCCTCTAGGGGGCCTCTTGGGGCCTCGCGGGAGCCTCGTGGGCGCTTCTCGGTGGGCTCTTGGGGCCTCCCTTGAGCCTCTCTGTGCCTCGGGCGCCCGTGTGGGCACCCCCTTGGAGCCGATGTGTGGGCCTCTTGGGCCGTCTGGGAGGTCTCCAGGGCTGCCTTGGGGCCCTCTGGGGTGGTTTTTGGGGGCCGTCTTGGACACCGCGTGGGGGCCTCGCGTGCCGATATTGGTGGCAATTCGGGCTGTCTTGGGGCGTCGGGGCGCCGAAAAGGCGAGAACGACCGACTCCCCCAAAAACCATCAAGAATGTTGTCTGTTGGGGCCCTCCTGGTGTGCTCTTGGAGGCCTCTTCGGGCGTCTTGGCGGCCGATTCGGCTATCAGGAGACCCTCTCTGGCGCCTCGGACCGGTTGTTCGACGATGCGGCGCCCTCTTGGACCATCTTGTGGGCCTCTTGGGCTGTCTTGCGGCCTTCCTGGGCCCCGTGACTCTCTGGGGGAGGATGGCACTTTGACCTGGGACTCCCCCATGGGGACCCCCCCAGGACCCCTCGTCCCCCTCCCCCAGGGGGGAGGGATCAAAGGCAAGGTGTATCCCTTCGACTCACCTACGACGTGGCTCAATTTTGCTTTGGTTGCCATTTGACTGGCTTGCTTGAGGAGGAGGGCCCAGCGAAAGGGGGGCAGCGACGACGGGCCCAACGAAAGGGGGGGAAAACGCAACGGCGACGGCGACGACGACGCTGGCGAGGACGAGGACGACGACGACGACGACGACGCTGACGACAACGACGACGACGACGACGACGACGACGACGACGACGACGACGACGACGACGACTACGACGACGTCGAGTCGACGGACAACAGCGTCTTCCACACGCCGACAGGGTCGGCGGATTCTCTGGCCCGCAGCTGGCGCCTCATGGTGCTCCCCGTTAGGATCCCTTTGGCCTTAGGCCTGGTATCTCTCATGAAGGAGAAACAACGACATAAACATAGAATGCTCGAAGTCCCGCTCGGATTTCTCGGTTCTTCTTTGGGCACCCCCGGGCGGGGACGGGTTCCAGTGCAGATCGAAGAACTCTGAGCGGACCTCCGAATGTTCTTATGACGTTGTGTGTTTCTTCAGACATGATTCTGCATTCGGATCCCTCAGGCTTTAGGCCTCACATCTCTCATCTCGAGGCCGTGCCTGTTTGTGTGGCAGCATGTTTGGGTTGCTCTGTTGTTGCCTGGGAGTCAGCGGTGTCGTGGAACATAATGGCATCTGATTCTCAGAGCACGCCAGTGTGGCTTTGCCATTTCTTCCCTCCGGTCTCCGCGGTCCCCCATCACGGGGTGGAGACCTCAATTTTCGATCGGCGGTTCCGTCGCCGGCCGTTTCGGGCCATGCCAGATGCTCGCACTTACTGGACAAAATAGTCAGGCGAGACACGTTCCTGGCTCAGCTGCTTCCAGCAGACCCACGACCGCGCACGTGACGCGCTCCTCTTCAGCACACTTTCCTCGTGCACAAGGAGGGATGAAGGGGCAGAGAGAGGCGGAGAGAGCGATGGATAAGGAGGATGAGGATGAGGGTTTCTCAGAACTCTGCGGATGAATGACAAGGTAGTCATGAATCTGGAAGCTCAGAGCCAGACGAGCCAGGTGGCAAACTCGGCAATCTCGGCGTCAGCTGCGTGCTCTGGTGGGCCGCGAGGGTGCGGATAGCGGCCTTCGGCAACACGGGCAAGATTCTGGACACTTTTCGGGAGGGCGAGCACTTGCCCACGAGCCAACGTGGGCCCGAGGCGGCAGTCTTGCCATAAGCCGAGCACGAGGTCAAACCGTACCGCTGCCAAAACTGCAGACGAGGAGCAGGAGAAGAACTCCCCTCCGATTCCTCTCCTCGACCTCCTCGTGTCGACTTGATCGACCGTCCCAGCACCGATCAGCAGCCATACGTGAAACCTACAGTGGGAGCCCATGCCAAGAAGCGCCCTGCCTGCCTCCAGGGTGCCCTGGGTCTCTTGGGCTTCGATGGTTCTGCTGTGGAAATCGTCACGTTCCCACACCCAGACTCCACGGACGTCCTGGGGTCTCAGGGTTGGGTTTCTTGTGGCAGGCGTCTTGTGGTCGGGCTCCTACTGTATTCCCCCCTGTCGTTGCCCCGCACTGATGTCCCGCCCGGCCCGCCCGTCAGTGCCCGCCCCGCGCTCGTCGTCGTCGTCGTCGTCGTCGTCGTCGTCGTCGTCGTCGTCGTCGTCGTCGTCGTCGTCGTCGTCGTCGTCTTCGTGTTTTTCGTCGTCGTCGTGTGTCGTCGTCGTCGTCGTCGTCGTCGTCGTCGTCGTCGACGGGTCCCTGCTGCGTGCGAGTGCCTCTCTGCGGGTCCGCTCGACACGGGGGCGTCCTGCCGACCCCCCACCAGCCCGCAGGGGCCCACGGGGCCGCGCGCGCCGGGGGCAGGCCCGGGGCCGCCACGACTCGTGAGATCGGGCACGTCACTCTACAGGCGATATGCTCAAACATGAGTTTTAAAGATAGTCTGGGGCCGATCATTCTACCATGTTTGTCCATCTTCGAACATTTCTACTATTTTAAACAGTTTTAAACATAGTTTTAAACCTTGTTTTAACCATAGTTTTAACCATTGATTTAAACATAGTTTTAACAATTCTCATAAAATAGGTTTAAACATAGATCTGTCATGTTTAAACATAGTTTTAAACATAGGTTTCAACATTCTACTATGTTTGTCAATCTTCGAACATTTTTGGACTACTTTATCATTTGTCACCCAGAATCCGCCTGTAGGGGGACATGCCCGCCCTAAACGAATCGCTCCAGAGCGTTCTGGAGCACTCTCAGAGCGTTCCTGATCCTGAGATCATGGCGTCTCAATTTTTCCGACCTGGGCGGTTTCGCTCGGTTTCGGGCCCCGGGACCCTACAGATGGGCCCGGCTCAGAAAAGTTGTGAAGAAAGACGGGGTCCCAGTCTCCAGCCGATAGGTGACGCGATGTTGCGATGTTTCGCAACGCCAGATCTCGAGGGAGTGCTCTGGAACGGGCGCGGCGCCCGACCAGAGGTTGCTTTCACAGATTCCCGATCTGTGCGGATCCCGTCCACGGCCTGCGTGCCCTGTCTTTGAGATTCCGAGCCCCCTGTGCAGGATCTTCCAAGAGGTGGGCCCCCAGAGACGTATGGACCCTCGTCCGCTCGACCACGACCGCGCTTCGCGCGTCGCGGCATGGGCTGGAGAGATGCCCTGTTCCGGGCGGCGACGCCGAGGCCCGAAGGTGATGTCGCCTCGCGCGGGGTGAGGCGCGCAATCGAGTGCCTCGGGCCTTGGCACGAGTACGGGGAGCCCTACAATGGGCTGCAGGGAATCCCTTCTCGTGCAGGGCTGGACCTAAACGGTGTTTTGGCGATTTCGTGGCCGTTTTCGTTTCGATTTCGTGTTGCGGTAAAGGCGAATTGAAGACAAAACGAGGGGAAACGAAAACAAAACGAAAACGAAAAACACAGTTTAGCTTCAGCCTTGCAATGGGCTGCAGGGAATCCCCTCCTCATCCTCCCCTCATTTCCTCGTGCCATTCGCTGGCTTGCCAGGCCAGTTTTTTGGGCCAGCGCCTGCTCTTTGCGCGGGCGCTCGGAGCGTGCCCGTGCAGGCCACATGCTGAGCGAGGCTCGGCGGTTCTGGCTGCGTGCGGGCGCAAGGTCTTCGGCCAACGGCATCAGCAGTGACCTTCCGTCGGCGGCGATC